TCGCGTAATATTTGTTGGGTTTCTACGTCCCCCCCCCCCCAAAAAAAAAAACATGATTCATGGTTATGATAGACGCCGTGTGCATGTTCTGCGGCCTCAAGGATTTTCGCCTCCACAAAAAAACGCAGCCTGCGCGGACCCGCGACCACTAGACCACCAAGGCGGATGGTTGTTCTCGTATACATGACGACTGAATTAAATGCGTCTTGTGCTTCGCACAGACCACTGTGTGTCAAATTTTGAAACACAACGCCATTCGTTATCCCCGTTTTGTTTTAGCGACATCCCAACCAACCGATGATACATAGTGAATTGCCATATTTTGAGTTGCTTGCGTGATCTATCTCTTTCTAGCCATTGTTAGACGTTGCACAGCGTGATCAAACGCGAACATGTGATCAATTCATCCTCGCAGAGCGTACCTGTTCAACTTTGAAGAACCATGTGCGGTGGCGGCTTCGAGAGAATGGGCTCCTGGAGCGGGTCATCCTGCATGCGTGGATGTGTCTGCTTGAATTGTTTTACGCTGCCGTTTCAATTATCCTTCTCGGCACGCACACAATACGACCTGCGCGAAGCGTGTTAAGGGTGTATCGGATGTTCACTTTAACGGCCTGACCGGGCAGTCACGCCCCGCGTATAATATCCTCTCCCCTTTATTGTGCGCTTCGTTCGCGCGTGTGTTTGTTTTTCGCAAAATCGCACCTCGTTTACGTACAGGCGATTGCTACTTCGTCTACTGAGACCAAATTCGGAAAACTTGATTAATATGTGGGGTTTAACGTCCCAAAACCACTATATGATTATGAGAGACGCCGTAGTGGAGGGCTCCGGAAATTTCGACCACCCGGGGTTCTTTAACGTGCACCCAAATCTGAGCACACGGGCCTATACAACATTTCCGCCCCCATCGGAAATGCAGCAGCCGGGATTCGATCCCGCGACCTGCGGGTCAGTAGCCGAGTACCTTCTAGCCACTAGACCACCGCGGCGGGGCGAATTTGAAAAACTTCTCTTTCGTAATTGCGCTTTCCATTGTCAGCCGGCTTCGCTAATGACATGTGCCGAATCTTGATTGGCTGAAAAATTATTTTACGACACCTTTAGCGCAAGACGTAGGCGTTGATGAATACGGCCACTTAACTCGCTTGAGAATACCGGACGAACGCCGAATAATCGACACGTGTGGGTATTTAACATATATAACGCTTATATTAATAGCTTGCATGAAGGGTACAGTGTTTGTCAAAAGAAACAGTGCCGCTGCACGCGCAGACTCTGAGGCGGCTTGGCCCCTGCATGTACCGCACAGGCGCGCCTCGATGATTTTCAAAATAGAAGTCAATTGTTGTGATCGCATTACAAACGTAGACAGGAGGTGTCAGCAACATTCGTGATATCTCTGTGGAATCTTCCATAAAGTTTTCGAGCGTCATTTTCGCGGTCTCCGTATATAGTTTTGACGTGGTCAACGATTGTCAACTCGTTTCTTGATTGTTAAAACGTTTTTGAATAGTTATACTTTTTATATTTCTTACTGAATGAGGTGTACGATTGTAGTTTGTTTTAGAAACTGAACAAACCTGCAAGTTATCCTCCTGATATATCATTCTTTGATCTGCACTGTTGCGCAACTTCTTTCGAAACGGATTTGGTATTTCACTTTGCGCGTGTTATGCTGTGACATTTTTCATTTTGGCATTGTAATTCCGATATTGCTACGAAATTCAATCGCTGTACTTTTGTATGCATAACGATTCATCATTCACTTATTTGCAAACCGCCCTATGTAATGCCCTTGTGACCGTAAGTGGGTTCTATGGTCCTGCGAGGATGTAGGATTGGATGCTGCGTGAAACAGCTTACGAACCGTGACTATATAGGTCAGCCTCGACTTGATAAAGTTATTTGTCTGGTGTTTACGGTGAGCCGCGCCGCAAGGGGCACGATGTGGAAAACGAAAGCCGAAACGATGTAAGGGAAACACCCTGTCCTCTGCGTCTATAGCTGCGAATAAACGGGGCACCAAAAGTCACGCGGCAGAAACGTGGACGTGCATCCTTCTCCCGACTTCCTGTATATACGCTGTTTCGATTTGTATACGCTCGTTTCGTCACAGCTGTTGTGGTGAGAGAAGAAAACATGCGCGCGCAACCCGCTGCTCGCCTCTCGAGTCATTCATTGCGCGCGCTATCTCTCTTTCTCTCTTTCTTTCACGCACGTGGTGCCACGACCGGGAGAGGGCTGGCTATCTCTCTCTCTTTCTTTCACGCACCCGGCGCCACGACCGAGAGAGGGTGCGCTATCTCTCTCTTTCTTTCACGCACCCGGCGCCACGACCGGGAGAGGGCGGGCTATTTCTCTTTCTTTCTTTCACGCACCCGGCGCCACGACCGAGAGAGGGTGCGCTATCTCTCTCTCTTTCTTTCACGCACCCGGTGCCACGACCGGGAGAGGGCGCGCTATCTCTCTCTCTCTTTCTTTCACGCACCCGGCGCCGCCACCGGGTGGAAAAAGGTCATAGGCAAAGGGGGCACGGCGCCTTTGGTTGGGCTGGTTTCGGTTCTTCGCTCAACGGTGCACGCGCATGCAGAGTTCTGCAGTACGTGCACGGAGGAGCGCGAAAGTGGCGTTGTGATGCGGTTCTCACGCTCGACGCGCCTGTTGCCATCATACGGCCACTCCGCGGTGTTGTTGTTGTTGCTGCGTTCTTCTTCAGCGGTCGGGGTCGCGAGGTGAAGCAGGTGCGGCCGACCGACGGCGTGCACCTGACGCACGCACCTTGCGCCCTGCGTTCATTCGCGTAATCGGGGGTGGCGCCGTATCTTTTTTTTTTCTTTTGTCTTCTTCTGTTTCTGATTGAGTGTGCGCTTCCTTTAGTGGGAGAAACGGAAGTAGGAAGGGCGCTTGAAGCGTGATAACGCTTGGAAAAAAGAAAAAAAAAAAACTTGGTTGCGATGGCAGTTATTCTGGCCGTGGCCGGACATCCAAGGTGGGAACTACTGAGGAATGACGGCAAATGAGGGTCGACTAGTTGCACACATGACCCAGTTAAATACACGCATGACGAAGTTCTGCGATGTTGATCTCCTTAATGTCCATGTATATTACAGAGACATTAGGGACATCAACATTAGAGACACTACAGTGCAACACCAGAGAATTCCACTGGAAACACGGACACTAGAAAGAACTATTGTATGTTATAGACAAAAGCATAGACATACATTCTAGATTTCGAAGGTACGTCCTAGAGGAAAAAAAAAAGCGAATTTTCTCGTAAGAATAATTGCTTGCCGCGACAACATCTATGGCATGCGTATTATCTAATTGGTAAAAGCGAAGTACACTGTGTTTTGAAGGGGCCAGAGACTTAACATACCAAGTTTCAGGAAATTTTGTTGCATCAACGCACCCTGTTGAAATACGAAAAAAAAATTGCGAACTCACAAAAATGCAAAGATTTTGGCGCGAAATTTAAAAACGAAACTTTGAGTGTTTTTTCTAATATAGTGAACCTATGAAGGTAAAATTGACAACAGTAACCGCTTTCCGAGCGAAAACTTTCCGTCTAAACTGATTCACCGTTTCACTTTAGCATCACTTCCACTTCTTTGGACTTTATAGGGGCACTGTAAAATTTTTTCAACTCGGCAATAAAGAAGTTCCCACTCTGTTCGCATCGTTTACACGATGCGATATTTTAGAAACATGCAAGAAAAAAAAATCCGATGCCATCATCCTCCACAAGAGGCGGATATTTCGCGCGGCTTTCCAGGTACCCCTGTTTTGACGACGTAGATTACGTCACAGGCCGCGCAACAGCCGATAAACGCCAGCCATTGGGCAATTGTACGTGACAACGATAACACAGAGACAGGAGAGAAAACAGCAGTTCACCGTGGGTACATTCTGGTTCTCCTCCCTACTTTCTTTCATTTTATTATCTCTCTCATCATCCAATTAACCTATATATGCCCAGTGTCCTACATGTAGGACGGTGAAACTTCTCAGTGTAACTCGAATGTTTTTTTTTTTTTTTTCTGTAAAAAAGGCAGCATCATCTAAGCTGTGTTTATGGTGCCCTGTCCTCGTCACATGCAAGTCTAGGTGATGGCTGGGCTACAAATGGCCACGTGCTTGCAGTCACAAAATGGCTATTTCAAGTGCATGAAGCTGAGCTCCATACCGCGAAAAAGAAAGTAATATAGAGTCAAATTGTCCTCGATGCTGCTGATATTATTGTCGATTGTTCGTCAATTATTGGGTGTGCAGTAACTTTCGTATGACAGTTATAGGCACTAATGTTTTTTGTTCACGGTGTGTCAAACATAGGTGTCCTACATCCAGGATGGCTCCAAAATCGTTTGGTAGTTTTTTTTTAAAATAAAAGCCTTATTCTGTTTTCCGAGGTCGTCAAAGCAATCATTCTGGGAAAACAAATTGGGTTTGTTCATTTGCCTAAGTTGGGGCATATGTGTGTTAAAGTTGAAACAACTTTTATATTTTTCTTTCAGGCATGGAAGCTGTGGTTCTTAATAAAATTCCTCATGCAAGTCCTATTTTGCACCTCAAGAGTATATCAACCAGGGGTGTAGACAGAAACTTTTTTCGGGAAGAAAGGGGCGAGGTGGGGAGACTCCCTAAAATAGTTTTTTTTTGCTCTGCATGACATGGCGAAAAAGTTTCGGGGGAGAAGGGGAGGGCACGGGCCCGGTGTGCCGCCCCCTGGCTACACCACTGAAATCAACATTCGAAGGTTACTAAATGTGGACCAGAGCAGAGAGAGCAAAGGAGCTTGCAGGCACCATTTAACCGTTGCCTACATGAAAGGGCTTTTTTCAAGAAAGCTCGGGCATCGTCAAGTTGCATGTTATCCATGCCGTTTCATGTGTCCAGACTCTCATAGTTGTGTTGCTCTTCGTTATGTGACAGAAGGAGTTTACTACTCCTGCAGGTTTTATACAAAGGCATTAATAAGTTCTCGTTCTTGTGCGCAGCTCCCGTTCGCGTCGGTGGGCACGCTCAATGGGGTCCACCTGTTCTCACACCTGAGGGGCGCTTCCCTGCACAGCACAACTACCAAAGGTGCCAAGGCCGTCTGGAGGAGTTACCACGACAGGTGAGCAAACATGACCTACTCGCATCTGTCTCCAATGGCCTGATCTAGTAGAGGGGGTTCAGCCATACTTCATGTATGTTTGAACCCCCACGGTTATGTCAGTGGTCTGATCTTGTGATTACAATAGATTTGTTACTAGAACTTCCTTTAGTGTACACTGTGGTAACCATGAGAGCAAACTCTGCCAGAGTTCTTTCGATTTATTGTGTCATAAGGAAGCCAAAGAGAATGGTTGTCGTAGGAGCTTTGCAAATGGCTATCACTGTACTGGCAAGGCCTCATAATTTGTTAGCCGATTGAATCGTTATTATGAAATGTCTTGTTATTTGTCTGTATGTCTTCATTTTTCCCAATTGCACTTGGTTAAAATGCAAGATCAACTAGCCGAACAGTCTGTCTCATTGTGTACGCCATGTTCCTGTCATAGAAAGAATCAGCTGGACTAATAGGAGCTTGTCCGATGTAAAATAGAACACATTTTATGGCACCTTGTCATGCAGGAAAACGACGAGCAAATAGATTTTCTGGGAGCTGCATGAGCTAATTGACTTGCAAGTCATCCCTGCACCTGATCAAACAGTTCTGAGAGCACGAAACTGCACACAAGCGAAATTCTCAGCTGGTAGTGCCAGGGGACACTACCAATACTACGAATTAAATCCATCTCCTGTGCAATATGCAGTGTGGTGTTACTTGTGGTGACTAACAACGACAACTCAAGTGACGAGCACCTGAACCGGCTGCTCGACAATGTGTTCGCTTCCATGGTGATGGCTGTGGGACTGGAGACTTTGCAGACCATACACAACGTCGACAGGCTCAAGCGGGAACTCAGGGTCAGTGCTAAACATCGTGCTTACTCATATTTTCGTTGTGTTGCATTTCACACTTGTGACAAAGCACCGATAGGTTAATGATGTATAAGAGTCTGTACTCGCCTTTCTTCTTTTTCTATGCATGAGTATCTGCAGGATTGTGACCTATGCTACACCAATATCAGTTCGTGGTCGCGCTTCTTCAGTGGTTATAGTAGCGCTTCTGCCATGTTATCAGCAATACATTCGGTCGTGAACAATAAAAGTAACTCAGAATGAAGTCGAAGAAATTGCTAAGTTATACTGGCCACTGTCTTAGTTGTCTTTTAAAACTTATTAGTTTTACGGACAAAAGCTGTGGTATGAAGGCACAAGGCACAATGTCGTGGAGAATAACGAATCAGTTTTGACCATGGTCTGACGAATATTTCATATACAGTATTTTAAGGTGCGCATAAGTGCGCCAATAGGCAAACTATTTAAATTTACCTCCGAGAAGTGCAGCTGCTTGTTATGGGCTCAAGGGAAAATAAATGGTGACGTTACGTATGTGTTACGTACGTAACATCACTATTTGTTAGGTATGTAACAAGGTTGGCTTTCTAAATGAATGTGAGATTCTTTCATATGATACCCATCTTTGTGTTTATTCATGTGTGTCATATGGGGGAAGATGGGGTGAATGCTCCAAGCCCCCTCTTTGGCTCTGGTAACCAATTGCAGTGACAGCAGTTTTTTTGCCCATGCCAGATATTTTTGCCCATGCCAGAAGGCAACAAGTGACTCTCTTGGTCTCTGCATGGTTTCACAACGTTTCTGTTCAAAGTGAGCATAAAGTGATTGTGGATAGGAATAGTACTGAAGTACTGCCTTCCTTTAATTTGTGTCCAGGTTTGTTATCCCATGGTGGATCACTTGTTGTGCCAACTGGATCAAGATGCCTGCACACTTGGTGACCTCACAGGTGTCACCGACTTTATCCTATGTACAGAAAGTCAGGCGCTCCAGGTATGTTGGAAGCCACACTTTCTTATTTTACAATATAACGGTTAGTAATAGGAAAATTAATTTTAAACGATGTTGCTATGACAAGGAACATTATATATTTTAAATAAAACCTCCCGAGTACATCAGATCGTTTTTTGTTCTCCTTGTGCAATGGTGCCAGGATCGTAGCATAGAGTACTGCTGAAGCATTTTGTGCAAGCTTGAAACCTCCTAGAATTACAGAATTTAGCTATTTCTTAGGTGGCCATGCTAAAAAAACAAGACGTGCAAACGTAAGCACAAAAGGAAAGCACTTGTGTCGTGTGTTCATTCTTTTTCTGTCCCGTTTTTTCAGGATGTCACAACTTCCGCATTTGTAGCATTTTGACGTCTCTCCAGGGTCTGTGTTTGCTTGCCCTTGTGTCTGTGTTGCACGTACATGAAGCTGCCTTCAGATTAGGGTTTGCCGCACATGAGATAATGTAGGCTCACAGTTAGACATATGTTGCCACAAAAATATTAATGCTTTAGTGGTTATGAGGTACCTGTTGTTGTACCGTACTCCCGCTCTTTGCACGTGTCGTTTGTGACAGACAGTGGCACTCATAATGGGACACGAAGATGACATTGAGCCACCACTGAGCCTGCACGTGAAATTGATATTCATGAACCCCGTATTGTGGTTGCAAGTGAGATGTCGACAGGTGTTTTCGCAGCTGCCGTTGAGTGCTTATCCTCTCTGTGCAGCACTACCTGGACACCTTCGTGGAGGAAGTGGACAGCTTGTACGGCTGCCTCTTGGTGCGAGGCAAGGTGGCCGTGGCCACCAAACAGTGGATGCGTCTCACCCGCGAGGAGACCACGCTGCTGGCCATTGCTGCCCGTGCGGGCACTCGCTGCATTTCACGCGAGACGCCTGTCTACCTGCCCACCAGCTGTCCTCTGGTAAGTATCAATGGAATGCCACTTTAAGAAGTGGAACACAACACCGCTAGAGCTGGAAAAAGCCAGAGTTGGACCTCACTAAGTTGATGAAAGGTTAATTGAAAATCTGCCAACTTTTGTCACGGTGCCTGCACCAAGTGGACCTGGTGTTTGTGGACTTGTCACTCATGTTTTGCCAGGCCCACATGTGTAACGTAAGGGAAGAGGCGTGTACTAGTATATGCATGTTGTACACTGCGTGCCATCAAGTGCCCAGGGAAGTCATTGCACAATACAAGAAGTGGAATGAACAGAGATGAGCGAGTGTTGTGGTAGAAGGGACCATTATGTGTACACACCATGGAAAGCTCGCACAGACACAATGACTATGAGTGTTGCACTACATGGAGCAATTACCAACATTGCCAGAAATGTCGCCTGTGGCTGGCAATTTGTGTGGCACCATATACAGTCAGTTTTGTCACCTTTGATTGTCAATGTGTTTCTCCCTATTTCTCTTGTACTTGCTACTGCAGGTAAGCAACCGCCTCGTCACGCTGCAGTTGACGCAAGGAGTTGAACTGTGCCTGCTTTGCGGACCAGCACCATCATTGGCAGTTCTCGAGGAAGAGGTACGAAGCATTGCCCATTTTGCCATTTTGTGTTTCTTTTTGTCCATATAATGTGTTCGTCATTTTAGTCATGCTGATCTATTTGGTTATAATTAAAGCTTATGTTCTTGGTAATTACAGGTGTGCAGGTTTTGGAATGAAGCTTTCGACTTGCTTAAAACGGCCGCTAGTGTGCACCCGAGGAATTTTCCGCTAAGCTCGACGTCCGACAAGAAGACTGTGACGTTGCCTTCCCTTGACAAGAACATCTTGGGGTGAGAATCAACTGCATTTATTATTCCAAACAGTGCCCAGTGCAGTCATATATTTGTCGCACAATATTCTGTTAGGTTGCTAATGGTTAGTGTGGTTTTCAAACATTATGTAAATGTATTTTTTTCATTATCACAAAACACAATCCTTTTGAAATGGCCGTATGCATTATTCTAGAGTTTGCTGAGTGTCACAAGGCTACAGCAAAGAAGGAAGTGACATATGGCCCACATAATGCCAGAAGCACAGATGTTCATGCTATTACCATGCAACGGCTTTTGAGTTTGTTATCGTTATTTGTAGTACACTGCCTTGAAATAACGACTATAGTCAACAAGGAAGGATTGTGTTGCGTCAAACCACATCAGCATAGTAGTTATCTTGAAGTGTGAGCTCCAGTTTGACAAGTTTTGGACCAGAATACCAGAATGTGTGCAGTGTTTGTCAAAAGAAGGCCAAATGTATACGGAGAAATAGTTATCCATTTCTTGAGACAAATGGTTGGCATGTAGAACTCCGACAGCAGCAGAAAAGCTCAATATTTTCTATTCTATGAGAAAGCCACTACAACTGGCTCCGACAGTATTTCACAGCTACCCTTCACTCTCCCCCCTCTTACCCTCACATTTGGTAGATAGCAATTGAAGGTTTGGGAATCAACCAGCTATAAATGGAGGCACACAAAACGGAAGACGAAGTGAAGTAGTGTTAATTCTTGCAGTTATATCTTCAGTGTTATTTCCTTGTAAAACACTAGAGGTTTCTCAAATTAGCTAGAGGGGACTCTGGTGCTGCGATCAATCAGAGACCATGGGAATCATGGGCATTACACAAATTTGCCTAGTCTTGGGTGCTTGTGGACTTTAAACGTAATTGTGGCTTTGTTTATTGCTGTGTTTAGACTTTGTTTCAAGTAAAAGAATGGATCGTTGGGAACTTCGTGGCCCAATTTGAATTGGTAGGCCTAAAATGTTTAGATGGTGAAGTGCAACTGCCGAACATTCACTGATTGTCATTTCATGAAAAAGCAACTTCAAGCCAAGCGAAGCCAACCAGAGCCGAAAGTATGAAGATTAGACAAATATGTGTACTACCCATCATTCCCATGCTTGCTGAAGCGCCATGCGTTGCAGCTCCCATAGGCGCTAGCGCCAAAGTTCTCTCTAGTGTAATTATAGGAAACTCTATGCAGTAAAGTACCAACAAGCTTATCGATGTGTGTTATTGCAAAGGGTTCATGCTCTTGCTAGAGTGGGCTCCTGCACCCCCACAAATGGGCCAGATTTGCTACATTGACTATCACTGTTTATGGTTCCCTGCACAATCTTTTTACCTCGATTTTCTGGCTTATTTCAGGTTCCTCCTGGTGAACATGAAGAAGCAGCGGAGCCTTACGAGCGTGCACCCCGTAGAGGACGAGATTGGCCGCACGAAAGATGGCAAGTGCGTCAGCCTGCGCAAACGCCAGGAGATGCTGCGTGCTTTGTACAAGCTCGTTAACTCCGCCTACTTCACGATGACGACGACGCCAGTAATGGAAGGCGCCACAGGGGCAGCCCCAAATGCAGGTAAGGGCTGTAGCCTTTCGTCATGCAGTATTTGCACCACTGCATAACAGAGGAGTTAGCTTAGTTGATGCTACATGGAATCTTTAACCGCATGACTGCTGTGGAAAGTACACAGCTGCCAAATCAAGGATTTGAGCGAATGTGCCAGCCAGTTATGTCAACACGTTTCTGTGCCATAAAAACGAAGGCTAACATCACTGCCACGATGCCATGAAAAAAAAAAAAAAACAGGACAAAAGAAAATATTAGTTTCCAGACAGACGCCTGGATGACTGAATAGTGTGGCATGTTCATTGGGCATATTGTCATACTGATTTAGCCATTTTTCATTGGAAGTTAAGTGATGCATAGACACTATTAAAGATGAAGTCACGGGGTTGTGGTGAAATTATTAACATACTGCAGCATTCACAAAGGCAACGCACATTTCATGGCCCATTCAAGTAATTAAAAAAATCACACTACGTGTTATTCTAGTGAGAAATTAGTCATTGTCATGGCCAGTAATTTAAAAAAACTTTGCATCTTAAAGGGCAAGTAAACAACCCCGAGGTCAAAAATTGATATAAAGAGAAATACAAGCACTTTTGCTTTGTGAACATGCTGCTGCGAGAATTTTCTGAATACGCATTATATTAAGGAAGCTACAGACGTTAGAATATTGGTTTCAGCTGGTTTCAAATGGAGGCTCTGCGCAGAGAGCAGTGCTGTAATATTGAGGAAGCGCAATCGCCACAGTCTACTCTACAAATTCCCAAGCTTCTAGCGGGTGTGTAAAAAAAAAAGTTGGAGCCTGTTGACTGGCCCTTTAAGTGTGTTGTGTACTCAAGCATTGCTCTTGAGTAGCGCAGTTGTGCTGGTCTTGTGCTAAGCTGCAATTTTGTGATATTGGGTTGTATATTAAATCATGAAAATTTTCCTTGCAGGCAGCTCCAACCACCAAGTTACAGAAGTGTACATGTGTACAGAAACACACAAAAACTACGCCCTTCGAAATAATGACTATCAACTGTACATTTTGTTTTCATCATCTATACCAACATTTGCCATGAGGTAAGCTCCATAGACATCCTATTATACAAACATACATTAATGTGCTTAGCATCTATTGCATCGCTCTTCTTAAAGATACCATGCATGATGATTAAGCTACCTTGCAGTCATGTCTTGCACGTTAAATAAACGAGTCGTGCTGGTGGTAGCGTAGGGAACACTTTTACATGCCAAGAAAAAGAAAGAAATGACAGCACTGACAAATAGAGCAGTATTAATAAACAATTCTATATTATTGGCCAATCCACCTTACTTACTGGGCACGCGGAACACAGCCTATAAACTCATCGTCATTATCATGACCCCAACATGCTAAAGCCACGGCCTCTGGCATTAAGACATTCCGCTGCACCATCAACATTGAAGGGCCATAGAAAGTTTCTCAAATGTGATGACCTAACACTATCATATATGTTCTTCCAAAACTAGTTAGTCCTGCTAAGAGAAACTAGTCTAATTTTATAGAATTTGAACAAGGTCGTGAAAACGACCGATGGTGGTTAAAGCCAACCCACAATCTCACTTCTTTATGTCATAGCAAACAGAAACTGAATGCACATGGCATGCTCATTTTGCAGTGCTGACCCCCCCCCCCCCCCCCCCCCCCCATTTTGTTTTCAGATCCATCAGCCACAAAACTCTCAAGGCCCTCACAACCAACAAAGTCTGTGTCCTCTGACAGTACGGCACAGCACCTGGCGTGACAACCTTAATCTAGTCTGTGATATTTACTTAAGCAAACCCTGCAATGTGCCCCGCATTTCAATTACCTCACATAGAGATAATATATTAGCACAGGAGTGACGCACAACTGTTGTGACGATGCTTCTGTAAAGCTTATCCATGATGTCTTTGAGAGACTTGATGTCCTTGGCGAGACGAGAGCAACACAATTGTCCATTGTGATACAATTAGTTGCCTTTTAAGAAACTTCCTCATGCTCAAGAGAAATGAAGCACATATGGGCTGCGAATCGTATTTCAAGATTTTTATTGTTTTAATTAGCATGTCTCCCGGTAAAATGAGACTATGAGCTTATGCCATCGTGAACTTGCTTGCCAGGCTAGCATTATTCCTTTTTATAAGAAATATAGCATACCCCTCACATGAAGAAGTCACTTACTGTTCAACAGTATATCTGGATAGATAATGACCTTTTAACCAAGAATGCAAATCATTGCTATTAATTTGGATCTTCGATTCCACAGTTGCTTTGCCAGGGTTTACCACACAAAAAGGACATGGCATTAGTATCACTTCCTCCCTTGGCATATGCACTTTCAAGGTAACAAGAATGTATATGCAAATTACATCTTTATTTGGAGTATGTGCTATCTTTTGTAGTAATTCTCTTTCTCTGCAAAAACAGAACCGATTTGCCTGGTGGCCCAGAACCGTCACTTGCCACACAATGTGCTTAATTACCTCTTCATGTTTGGCAGCAGTGGTAAAATAGAGCCGTTGCTTCTCACTTAAATGGATGTGCATAAACCAAAACAAGTGCGTTTTGCTTTAGCAGTATAGTTACTTATGTGATTGCTAAAGCAAATAAGGCAGCGACAGTTGGCTTGCAGTGATTGGTGTATGTAAACTAAGACATTTGCGCATGTAAGAAAGAACCCGGAAGCAATAAGCAAAAGGTCCCGTGCTCTTAAAGAACACACTAGTCACTGCGGCAGAAAAAAACTTGTTCTACACTTTTGAATGCGTGTAACTGAATGAATGCTTCCCTATCAGTTGTAGTCAACTTGTCATAATACAAGGTCCTTGATATCTTGGATATTAAACTATTCATAGGTCATACGTTGTGTGATACAAAATACAATTTCAAACTACCTTACGAATTAACAGTCAAGTTCGTGGCAACATTTAGCAATATCCTCTACAATCGCGTGAGGGTAAAAGAATGACCACTTATTCCTTGTTACTACTATAAGCCACCATGGGTATTTTTGGCTCCACTGCTCTTGTCTGGAAAATATCAATCAAAACTCGTTCGAATGAATCGACCGTAATGAAAGTGTAATGAGTCAACCAAAATTTTATGACCTGTTTGATATAACCAATGACCGGACAGGGTACTATGATGAGTTGACTGTTCAGCAAAGGCTTCAGTACTCTGTAAGAAAAAGAAATAGCTAGTGATGTTATGTACATACTAATTTATTTCTGTGACAAGAATGCAAGCGTTGAAAGATGGGGTGATGTAATGTAAAAAGCAATCCTTTGCAATCACACTTTTTCACTTGCACGTTGCTGCGATGACAAGCTTGATTGACACAGGAACCTTACGTTCACAAATGCGCAACACTCCGAGTAAAGAAGAAGAGGAATGTAAGCGCTGCACAGGTAGCCAACAACCAATGCCAGCGAGGGAGAACAAGTTTTAACATTGTACATAAACAAGCAAGTGGATGGAATCTGATCCGCGTGTGCATTTTCTAGTCGGTGTGAATAAACAAGAGCTTCTATGTGTTTTTTTGTATAGAACTACATCATTGTCTTTTGTGGGTGCTTTCACTCGTCAGCGGCTGATACAGACACTTCCTATCGACACTGCATCAATCATGGGAAAAACACCCTGGTCATTGGAGACATCCAAGTGGGATGAGTTTTGCGCACTTTTAGCAAATGCCTGTCAAACTAGCACCTAAGTCGATGGCCGAGAACCATCAAGGCTCAAGAAGGGGACTAGATGAATTAACAATGTAGTACAGAGTGGTCAAAACAAAACATAACACGAAATATTGTTGCCTTGTTCACGTGCAATAAACACATAATCACAAACAGGCTTGGCTCAAAGAGCTTTTTTGTATCGGTTTAGTGCAAGAGAGTTCCACCCGTTGACTAATGTGGACAGCACACTTCTATAATGATTCTCAATCTCATTCCTTCAACGAGTTGCTAAAAAGGTTTTAACACTCTTTCTGATCTAGGTACATATAGCTACAAAAATTTTGCTAGGCAAATGCCAAGGAAAGCTGGTGAAGCATGGTGGCCGATTCATTTGAGAGGTAAGCTGCCTTTTGCTTAAGGGAGATGAGGTGAAATGTGAAATGCTGGTTGCATAAATGTTTAAGAAAATAAGGTACTTCACTACAGATGCACCCATGCAAGCTCATCAACAAATCGATGGCATTTAAACTAGTCACTTAAATGGCAACAGCACATAACACACATCTACAATGCCTTGAAGCAATTTAGAGGGCATGCAGTTATTGGAATTTCAAAGGCTATGTTCTTGACTATACCTTGTGAGGCATACAAAGAAAATACATGCCTTGGTAAGCACACCTCCGTATGACAAAAACATTCCACGTCCATTAAATTGTCTTGGCAAAAGTGATTCAGTGAGTCTTACATTTGTCTCTCGTTACTGCAGTCTGTGGCGAGCTTAGCCTTGAGGCTATTGTACAAAATGCAATTCTATCATCTCCTGATCGACTCTTACTTGTGCAGGTGCAGATATCTAACGTAACAAGTATAAAGAGCTTATCAGTGCATGCGTACCTTTTCACATCACATAATGACAAATATGAGTTTTGTTCTGAACAAAGTAAGAAAGCATTGCATCCAGCGTGTCGTTATGCAACTACAATACGTGGTGATGTTCTAGTACTCTGGTACGTGAAATCTGAGGGCAAATGAGCTGGCAGATAATCTGAAGAGTCCTTTATACTGAACTACACCACATAGGCAACATCATACTAAAGCCAAGTTCTTCAGATGCACTGAGAATATGCAAAAAATATGCACATACTAAAATGCCATTGCATGCCTTAAATGTAGTGCCATTCACGAGTGTTGCAAATAAACTCGTTGCCGATGAAACCCAAAGTGACTCCTCAAATAAGAGGTAACAATTTTGCTGTACGTATCTATGTTTCACTGTTCGACAATGAAAACTGACCAGAAAAGACTAAGAGCAAACTAAAATATACACACCAGCGATACACAGCAATATATAGTCACGTACTTAGTATTTTAAATTGGGCTTGTTAGTTTTTTGACTCTCTAGTCAAGCTCTAGCATGCCCTGTATTGTGAGACTAGAAAAACAAAATACCTTGTTCGTTGTTGTTTCTTTTGGTAAAAAGCCATTTTGTCACAAACTCAGACAAAGGAAATGGAACAATTTTCAACCATAAATACAGAAAAGCTACACTGCGAAGAATACTGATATAGTGAGTTACGGGACGTGATAAAACAATATGAAGAGTCATCGTCTAGTTCAACAGGAAATATTACGACATTGTCAAAGAGCTCAAGGCCTGATTTGGTATCTCCTATAGTAAAGCAAACTTCCATTTATATGATGGCTACCAAATGCTTAAGCAGTACGCGGTCAGCCTCAAAAGTGTAAGGCCCACAAATTTCACTGCAAAAACACCCCCACTTGTCCAAGGTAAAGCTACAGTCACCGATTCTTGTTGGCAGAAGGATTCAACAACCTATATTTTATTGGCAAAATGACAGCACAGTTCCAATGTACTACAACAGCTGAAAAAATAGTCAACAAAATGAGATGACCAGCAAGCCGCTTTGTTGTAGTCTTTTTCAGAAGCCAGTAAAATTTGTTAACAAGCACAGCACAGGACCTTACGGTAATGACAGTAACAGCCTTTACACTTCAGCAACAGGTCACAAAACTGCCAGCTTGTAATGTTGTCCACAATTCACAGCAAAAATGGTTTTCTCATTTTATAACAGTTGCACACCAGCTCGACAGATTGATTTTTGCCGGGGCCTCATCGCAGACCAGTTTTAAATAATTCATGTCTTAATTATTTGCAAATACCAAATTTACAGCAAACAGTTTTCATTGTGATGCTCGACTGTGTCAAGAACACAGTTCATACAATTGAAGTTCACATTTGATGATCACAAAATGATATGCAACAAACATAAAACTATTAAAAGTATGACAGAGAGTATCTGTAGCAGCAGAGTCATTAAATGTGTGTAATAATACAGCATAAAATATGATAGGAATAGGAAAAGTTTTGCTCACATTTGCGAGCTAAAGTTCATCGCCTTGAACCAGCAAAATTCGTAAGTCAGGTCCATTCGCCGACAGGAACCAGTTCAACACACTCAACAGAGTGTAGATATGATATATGCAGATAAAAATATACTCTCAATTAAAAATAACTTAAAGGAACTAAATTGTTACCACCATCTCTTCTTGAGCCCCAGGACAACAGTTGCAAGAAAATTACAATAAAATAGCACCCCCAAAACATTATGGTTAGAGTCTCAATACTGTCTCCAAGAGATCAAACTTGGCTTACTTTAATGCCATGATGAAAAATAAGCAGTTCTCAGGGGAAAATGGGAGTCAGACATAAAAATGGCAACTACATGAAATGTGCGTTTTAGACGTAATTTTGTCACACGTGTCTTTATACCAAACTGTCCAGGCTTAGACAGCAGCTGAAGTGTGATTCTTGCATGGCTGCCAAGCGATGCAGTTTTGAGACAACATCCTTTGCCAGTGATTTCAGCAAGAACGACACACCACGAAAAATAGTACGGCGTAATTTTTAGCCAGATGCATAAGTCTGCACTGGCCAATGCGGACGTTTGACATTCCCCGGTTTATCGGAAACTGTCGGAAACAGTATTCCACGTGGCCACCACTTGTACACAAGCGCGTGTACTAGTATTGCCCAAATGGTCTACGTATCTGCCAACAGGCTGTAAAGCAAACATTGTCTAGGCCTTTACAGAGGGGGGATAAGTCTCTAACTACTGAGAGGTTTGAACTGGCTAACAGGTAACGTTCATAAAAAATGCCAATGATGCCGCAACGTTGCAGACTTCAGCCTGAGGACAACACAGCATACATCCATGGGCTAGCACACAACATGGCACCAGGTACCGCTATTGCCGTTGTCTTGACGCAACCACATACACAGCGAGCAAGAAAAAGAAACAAAAATCGGACGACAAACACTTCCTTCCGCTTAGGAGCATCTTGGCAGGAGTTAAAGGCGCTGTTGCTTTGGCCGCACGGCGGGCAGCCATTCGTTGGCTCAAACGTGCCGTAACATCACAAATGCTATCACCGCTTCCAGATTTCCTCCTCGCTGCAGATTACGCAAAAGTCTCCTGGACTAGGAAGACAGCTCTCATGGAAGCAGTGACCTGCAATTGTGGGGGAAATTGACTGTTACAAAAAATCTTACACGGGGTATTAAATTTGTTTACAGAACTGTTTTGTTAGCCATATGTCTCATCGCTTGTATATTACCTTCATTCAAATGACATTCAAATTCAAATTAATGTGTAGTTTATGAATGTGGAAAGGACAAGTCTTTCAAATATTTCAGCAACTAACTGGCACACAGTGGCAACGTATGAAACTGTCAGAGGAACCACACAAAAAATATTTTGGTTTGAACCTGCACATGGTTTTCGCAAGAGGAGGAAACTAGTCTCAGAGAAAGACGTCTAGATATTGTCACGGTGTCGTGACGTGGCTGAAGACAGGAGACTTTGTGTTGGGATTTAACTGTTTATTTGGACGAACCTGTGCCCGGTAAACGAAAAGTCCAATTACAGCAGCAGTCTTACACTGATAGCAGTCTCGGACTGATAGCGGCGAACGGAGCGTCGGCCTTCGATCAACAACTGACAAGCGGCGAAGCGCGTCGGCATTTATACTCTTGCCGTCGAATGTTCTAGCGTTATCGCTGGCGGTGGCGTAGGTTCCAGAACAATCTGCACTATTCGCACAGTGGGCGTGATCTTATCGAAATGATCTACTACAGTCCGGAACCTTCTCGAAAACTGCAGGCGCGGTTTGCGCTGAGAATCGTGTGGTGTTTTGGGACGATAAAAAAAATTTAGGAAATGGAACGTGGCATTGCCCCCCTCTGAAAAAAGGCATCGTCCCAATGCTTTAACTAAAGATGAAGGTACAACAATAATGCAAGAGAGTACAATGAATAAATTACGATACAAAAATAATAATAATAAAAAAAACACTGTTTCAGTTTGTTAACGCGCATGAAACGGCTTAAGGCGCGCGACATGGACGACTTCAGGTCGCGATCGGCGTCGTTGAGAGTTCGTGATGCCGTCGAGGAAAACCTCGTAATCAAGTGGGCCGAGATGTCGAACCACCCTGTACGGTCCGTAGTACCGTCGCAGAAGCTTTTCACTTAGTCCACGTCGGCGTATCGGTGTCCACACCCAAACACGTTCACCGGGCTGGTATTCCACAAAGCGTCGTCGAAGATTGTAACGGTGGCTGTCGGTCGTCTGTTGATTCTTGATACGCAGACGCGCAAGTTGCCGGGCTTCTTCGGCACGTTGAAGGTACTCGCTCACATCGAGGTTTTCTTCGTCGGTGACGTTGGGTAACATGGCATCGAGCGTCGTTGCTGGGCTCCTTCCGTAGACCAATTTGTATGGAGATACCTGCGTCGTCTCCTGCACCGCCGTGTTGTATGCGAAGGTCACATACAGAAGAATGGCGTCCCACGTCTTGTGTTCGACATTGACGTACATTGACAGCATGTCGGCGATCGTCTTATTAAGCCACTCGGTGAGGTTGTTGGTCTGTGGGTGGTACGCTGTCCTACGGCGGTGGTTTGTTTGGCTGTATGCCAAGATTGCTTGAGTTAAGTCGGCAGTGAATGCCGTTCCTCTGTCGGTGATAAGGACCTTCGGGGTGCCGTAACGTAGGACGATATTTTCGACGAAAACCTTAGCTACCTCGGATGCACTGCCTTTTGGCAGGGCTTTTGTCTCGGCGTAGCGGGTGAGGTAGTCGGTAGCTACCACGATCCACTTGTTTCCGAAAGCCGACGTCGGGAACGGCCCCAGTAGGTCCATACCAATCTGCTGGAAAGGTCGGCAAGGTGGATCAATTGGCTGCAGAAGTCTCGCTGGCCTTGTCGGCGGTGTCTTGCGTCGCTGACAGTCCCGGCATGTCCTCACATAACGAGTGACATCGGTGGTAAGACGTGGCCAGTAGTACCTTTCTTGTATGCGAGAAACACCGAGGTGCCCTGCCGTCGGATCGTCGTGCAGGGCCTGCAGGAGCTCTGGTCGCAGAGCTGAAGGCATCACAAGGAGGTACTTAGCTCGAAGCGGTGAAAAGTTTTTCTTTTGCAAAAGACCGTTTCGTAGAAAGAACGACACAAGTGCGTGCGAATACCTTCGGGACTTCGGCGGTCCTGCCTTCGAGGTATTCTATTAGGGCCTTAAGTTTCGGGTCGGCCCGCTGTCGTTCAGCAAAGTCGTCGGTAGTTATCGTTCCCAAGAAGTAGTGTTCATCCGGGTCGTCGGGTGGCGGTTGGTCGACAGGCGCACGAGAGAGACTGTCGGCGTCGGAGTGTTTTTTGCCGGACTTGTAAATGACAGTAATGTCATATTCTTGAAGTCTCAGGCTCCATCGTGCGAGGCGACCTGAAGGGTCCTTCAAGGTGGCTAGCCAACACAAGGCGTGGTGGTCGCTCACAACTTTGAAGGGCCTGCCGTAGAGGTAGGGGCGAAATTTCGACGTAGCCCAGATGATGGCGAGGCACTCCTTTTCTGTTGTGGAATAATTTACTTCTGCTTTGGATAGCGATCGGCTGGCGTAACTAATAACCCTTTCAAGTCCGTCAGCCCTCTGCACAAGAACGGCGCCAAGACCTACGCTGCTTGCGTCAGTATGTATTTCTGTCTCGGTGAATTCGTCGAAATGGGCAAGTAACGAAGGCGTCTGGAGGCGTCTGGAGGGTCTGGATGTTTAAGCTCCTGGAAAGCGTGTTCCTGTGGCGTTTCCCACTTGAACTCCACGTCGGCCTTGGTAAGGTTAGTGAGAGGATCGGCGATGTGGGCGAAGTTTTTCACGAACCGCCTATAATAGGCGCACAGGCCCAGAAATCGGCGCACAACCTTCTTGTCAGTGGGCGGCGGGAAGTTGGCGATGGCGGCTGTTTTCCGTGGATCGGGACGAACTCCAGACTTGCTGATAATGTGCCCCAGAAACAAGAGCTCCTCATACGCAAATCTGCACTTTTCTGGCTTCAGTGTGAGTCCGGACGTCTTGATGGCTTGAAGTACAGCTTCAAGGCGCCGAAGATGCTCGTCGAAACTCGAGGAAAACACGACGTCGTCCAAGTACACAAGGCAAGTCTGCCACTTCAATCCTGCCAGTACTGTATCTATAACGCGTTGAAAAGTTGCAGGCGCTGAGCAAAGGCCGAAGGGCATCACCTTAAACTCGAAGAGGCCGTCCGGTGTTATAAACGCCGTCTTCTCTCAGTCTCTTTCGTCGAGTTCAATTTGCCAATAGCCAGTCTTGAGGTCCATTGACGAAAAGTACTTGGCGTTATGGAGCCGATAAAGTGCGTCGTCTATTTGTGGGAGAGGATACACGTCCTTTCTTGTGATTTTGTTCAGGCGGCGATAATCCACGCAGAAACGTAGGGTCCCATCCTTTTTCTTCAACAACACCACGGGGGATGCCCATGGACTCTTGGACGGCTGGATAATGTCTTCCCGCAGCATTTCATCAACTTGTCTCTTCATGGCCTCACGTTCTCGCGTCGAAACCCTGTACGGACTCTGACAGAGTGGTCTGGCATTTTCTTCGGTTATGATGCGATGTTTCGTGATTGGGGTATGCAGAATTTTCGATGACGACGAAAAGCAATCTTCGTATTGCAGGAGCAGGGCCTTGAGCTGTTCTTGCTTATCGTTCGGAAGTCTGGGATTGACGTCGAAAGCTATGGGAGGGGCTTGGTTCCTCTGAGCAGGTTCCGCAGAATCGGCGAGGGCGAAAGCACTGGTGGCTTCGACAATTTCTTCGATGTATGCGACCGTTGTTCCTTTGTTCACATGTTTGTACTCATTGCTGAAATTCGTGAGCATAACTGTTGCTTTGCCTCCCCACAGCTCTGCAATTGCTCTTGCGACGCAAATATTTCGGGTGACCAACAGATGCTGACTGCCTTCAACGATGCCTTCCAAGTCAGGTGATTTAGGAGGGCCGACTGAAATAATGACGCTTGAGCGAGGCGGAATGGTGACTTGTTCTTCCAGCACATTCAAGGCATGGTGTCCTGACGGCGTGCGCGGCGGTAGTGCTTCTTCTGTGGATAACGTTATCGACTTTGTTTTTAGGTTGATGACATCACCATGGAGGCATAAGAAGTCCATGCCAAGGATGACATCTCTCGAGCAACGCTGTAGGACTACGAAGTCTGTAGGATAAATACGGCCGTTAATGGTGACTCTCGCTGTGCAGATTCCTGCAGGTGTTACGAGATGACCTCCGGCTGTGCGGATTTTAGGGCCTTTCCAAGCTGTCCTTACTTTCTTTAACTTCGCGGCGAACGACCCACTGATGACAGAATAGTCGGCTCCAGTATCGACGAGAGCAGTCACACTGTGGCCGTCAATAAGAACGTCGAGGTCGCTAGTTCGCCGTCTCGCATTACAGTTAGGGCGTGGCGTCGGGTCACGGCTGTGTCGGCTTGTTCCGCTGCTTCCATGTTGCGTCGTCAGGCCACCTTCGGTAAGTAAGCTTTCGCCGTCAGGGCTTTGCCTGGTTGGCGTTGTGTTCGGAAAGCTCCGCCGCGGCGTCGTCGTCGTCGGAGGATCTTCGGTAGTTCGTCGCACAGCAACTGCACCTCCACCGGTTGCTGCCCTTAGTTTCCCGAATACGGGCTAGGAGATCGGCCCCGCGTTGGATTGGAGTACTGCCGGGGGTGCGGTGACATGCGGCGGCTGGGCGACGGCTAACGGGAAGGACTTTGTGGTGTCCATTGAGTTCCTGTCAGGTAGTCGGCGATGTCACGTGGCTGTTCCCCTGGCTGCGGACGTGGTGTATCGACGGCGAAGCCACGCAGTCCCATCTGTCGGTACTGGCAACGGCGGTAAGTGTGCCCGGCCTCGCCACAGTGGTAGCATAGTGGGCGGTGGTCAGGGGTGCGCCAAACGTCGGTTTTCCTCTGCGCACTGTGCTGGCCCGATGGCGAACGGTAGGTCGTCGGCGGGGGTGGTGGCGGCGGTAGTGCCTGGCGACGGAAGTGCGATGGGGCGGCGTTTTGGCGTGCGCGTGGAGGAGGGGCGTGGCGGCGTGCTGCAGCAGCATAGCTCATGACTTGCAGCTGCGGCTCTTGAGGCTGAGGAACGCCCAGCGACTGCTGGATCTCCTGGCGTACGACGTCCGCGATGGATTCCACGTGAGGCTGCGCTGAAAGAAGTAATTTTCGCAGCTCCTCTTGCACGATTGCTCGGATCATCTCACGCAAGTCAGTGGTTCCGAGTCCTTGAATTCCGGCGTAGCTTGTAGATGAGAAGCTACAGTTATATTGCCGCGTGTGCATCTCGAGTGTCTTCTTTATCGTAGATGCTTCTGAAATGAATTCGGCGACCGTCTTAGGCGGGTTTCTGATCAGCCCGGCGAAGAGTTCCTGCTTTACTCTTCGCATAAGTAGACGCACCTTCTTTTCCTCGGACATGTCGGAGTCAGCGTGGCGGAAGAGTTTAATCATATCTTCCGTGAATATCTCCACGTTTTCATTTGGCATCTGCATGCGGTTTTCGAGGAGAGCTGCGGCCTTCTCCTTGCGCAACACACTTGCGAAAGTGGTGAGGAACCTGGCGCGAAAGGCGTCCCACGTTGTGAGGCTTCGCTCTTGATTCTCGAACCAGGTCCGAGCAGCATCTTCTAAGGCGAAATACACATGCCATAGCTTGTCTTCGTCTGTCCAGTCATTGAATGCGGCGACGCGGTCGAACCTTTCGATCCAGCTTTCCGCGTCTTCCAGTGGCGAACCGCGGAAAGTTGGCGGCTCTTTGGCTTGCCGGAGCAGGAGTGGTGCAGGTAGAACCGGCGCTGACATGGTCGTCGTGGTTGACGTCAACTTCTTGGTTTTCCGAGCCTTGTCCAGTAAAAGCCCGTACTCCGGTGGCAGACGTTGTAGCCTGCGGCTAACTCGCTGCTCGTTGCTGGCGTCGGTGTCTTCACGGCGTGGGCTGGGTTCACGGCTTGACGGAGGCGTCCGGTACATGGAAGAAACAGCACCTCCACCAGATGTCACGGGGTCGTGACGTGGCCGAAGACAGGAGACTTCGTGTTGGGATTTAACTGTTTATTTGGGCAGACCTGTGCCCGGTAAACAGAAAGTCCAATTACAGCAGCAGTCTTACACAGATAGCAGTCTCGGACTGATAGCGGCGAACGGAGCGTCGGCCTTCGATCAACAACTGACAAGCGGCGAAGCGTGTCGGCATTTTATACTCTTGCCGTCAAATGTTCTAGCGTTATCGCTGGCGGTGGCGTAGGTTCCAGAACAATCTGCACCGTTCGCACAGTGGGCGTGATCTTATCGAATTGATCTACTACAGTCCGGAACCTTCTCAAAAACTGCAGGCGCGGTTTGCGCTGAGAATCGTGTGGTGTTTTGGGACGATAACAAAACCTTGGGAAATGGGACGTGGCAATATAATAAAAGTCAGGCTACTAGTACTTTGAAATTTCACTTCAACTTTTCATGGCATCATCGAAATAGCGGCTAACTGTTTTACTAATACAGAAAGTATGTGACATTGAAACGATTGACAGGTCAACTTCGGCAAATTTTTTTCTTATCTTTTACGAAAGAAACACAAAGCCATCGAAACACCATTTGTCATTGTCGCTTCTGCTGCAACTTGTATGCGAAATTCAATAATGAAAGAATGACAGCCATTTGCACTGCTAACGAGCCATATCGGCTAAATATGTGCACACACGCCCAAAGGGGGGTTACCCAGCAGTCTGTACTTCATTTCAACATCTTGCGACACTGAACTGATTCAGTTTTGTTAGGGGGCAGACTGGTCTTTGGGACCAAAAAGTGACAAAAAAATTCATTTTTTAAAATTGACATAATTGGTTTCTGCAAGTATTTGTCTATCTCTCTGCAAATTTTCACACACCAGGTAGTGATAATTTTTTTGTAATGTTATTCTAACTGTCCCAATTCTTGGTGCTGCTAACATGCAGAACCTGCAAAAAAATGGGGAACCGACTTCGAGGCTTCTTTATAATTTGCCGGCACCTGTGTTAGAAGCTCTGCTACGAATTTATGATCACTTTTATGAGGATTGTAAAACATGCGCACCATGATAGTTGCTTTTTGAAGAAGCTGTGTGTTTTCAGTTTTTTCCATTTTACTCAAAAAAGTAAATTTACGACTGTTCAATTTTGAGGCCTCAATATCTTTGCAGCTAGAGCAAGTACAACAATAATTCTTTTTTCAATCGAAACCTGTATGTGTGTAGAATGCAAGTATGGGAGCAGAATTTAAAACACAAGCCCTTTTAATTAATTACTCATAAAAAATTGTAAAACAATTCCAACTGCTTTTGAAAATGGATAGTTAATTTTAATGTCAAATAACCAAGAAAAGCCTAAAAACAAAAAAAAAACTCTTGCATACTTTCAATACTATATAGTCATTAGTCTATGTTGACATATCTTAAATATTACTTTTAATTAAGCACTTTTTTCTATGGTGGCCTTAAACAATAGGGGGTGAACTTCGGTTATCTCTGGAACAAGATGAGTTACAGGAAAAATAATTAAATATTTTAAATCAGCTGAAAAAAAAACTGCATTATCCTGAGCAGTTTGATCAAGATCACTGAAGAAATAAACAAAAAAAGTGTCTAAGACCAGTCTGCCCCCTTAACTAATGAGGGTCAGATTAGTGAAGTTTTGATGAGAAGAACATATGCTCACCACAGTGGCACATAACGACGGCATGTGCATCAACAGCCGTTCCCAGAGGCAGGCCGCAGAGAAGACAATTTGAGAGAAGAGGAATGTTGCCCCCCCAGTGGCTTTCAGGCTCCTCCACAAATGATCCTTGCAGCTACAAAGTGAAGAATGGAACAAAAAGGGTCTCAATTTCTGGCATCGGTGCAGCATATTTATTGCCTGAAAAGTAAATCAGCAACTCCATTTTTTTTTTTTGAAGAAAAGCAGCATAAAAAAAATTGAAGACAAGACAGAAAGGAAAAAAATACAGTACTGCCGTTCCCTCACTTTCTTTTTTTTTTTGAGGGATGCTTTTTTTTTTCAGTAAATGACTACACACAACCTACCCAGCTTGTCATTCTCTTAGCAACTTCATAGTACAAATCTCTTATAGCATGCTATGTTAGCGAGGTTGAGCGTTTTTTACATATCAGTGATACATAGAACCTGTTAGTTTTGGAGAAAGGAGAAACAGATCCCAGTTTCACTACCCAAGCCTTGTCAAGCAATCCTCATTCCATGTCAAGTTTACTTAGACAAAGAGGCTACACACAGGAAACAAATCTGACATATTAAGTTCAGCTGCAAACAGCAACTCAATGCAGCAAAAATGTTGTGGTACTCATAACGAATAATGCCATACCTCCTGCTCTGAACTGAAATCCACACCAGCACGGTTCAGCATCACATGACTGCTGCTTCTGCTGCTGCGTTCACCCGCAGCTATAATAGAACGGTAGCGTAAAGTCGCACCCCAGAAAGTCCAAGTCTGAAATGTTCACCTGCACGTCCGTCAGGTCGTCATGGCCGGCCAGACCCTGTTTCTCCCTGTCGAGGACATCCGCAACCTGAGGCGGCAGCGTGACGGGTCTCCGAGACCAGACATAGCTCTCCAGGCGAGACAACATGCGGTGGCTTAGGGCACTGCACAGAAAGCATGTGTATGTACTTCCGTCACTCAGGCATTCTCCAGATTTTTTTTTTGTCTTAGAGAATTGCACTGATAAAAAAAAAACTATCACAAAACTTGCAAATTAACAGCATCAACGCACAATAGAAAATACTTGTAAACGAAGATCTGCTGAAAGAAGTTCCCACACAAAGAAATTGACAGCTGAGCATGTGCGTTAGTGACAAGAAATCATCCCAAATTAGGGATGATGAAGGTTAATGTGTAGGTTTGTGCGAATAATCGAATGCTTTGAATATTAGAACGAATAGTACAGCATTCCGATTTCGCTTTCATTAGAATTTAAATTACTGAAAATTTCGAAGTATTCAACATGAACGAATAAGTGCGTGCCTACTAGTCTGAATGTAATTTTTGTAAAGATGGTTTCACTGCAGTGAAGGAGTGCTAAGCCCTGAAAACATCTATCCAGAAGAAATCTGGATTGCCATGAAGCTTCACTTCAAGGTTCACCCTCTCATTGGTTCACCATGCCCATTTCATCAGTTTAGAAGTTTGTTACACCAACTTATATGCTCTAAGTATAGTAAATTTTACAATGCAACATATTGTAAATAAAGCCATTTCATCACAGCTCGCTGTAACAGTTGTGGTGGACGTGCTGGGTAATCGACACCCAAAGACGGAGGCTGAACAGCAAGTTCTTCGACGAAGCCGTAGCCTTGCTGGACTTCCACCGAATCCATCTGGGCTGGACACGTCCCACAACGCGGATGAACACCGACCCCTCTCGACTTCTGCGCCGACCAGTTCGGCTCCACAGCTGAGAGATGCTCATCCCTTCGCCGGCAGACCAGATGAAGAGGTCGAGGTTTGGCTCATCCATTACAAACGGGTAAGCGCCGCCAAAAAATGGGATGCCGCTTCTCAGCTTTTGTACGCCGCGTTCTTTCTGATGGATACTGCATTAATGTGGTACGAGAATCGGGATGAAACGCTAACGAGGTGGGACAGATTTGTCTCTGAGATTAAAGAGCGTTTCGGCGACCCAACAACGAAAAAGAAAAGAGCAGAACAGACGCTAGTGCAACGTGCTCAAGTGCCAGGTGAGACTTGCACGACCTACATTGAGGAAGTAATAAAGCTATGTAGAATCATTGACTCCAGAATTTCTGAGGAAGACAAAGCCGGGCACATTCTAAAAGTGATCGCCGAGGATGTTTACAGTTTCCTCATCGCGAAAGACACCATGACATCTGTCGCCGATGTCATTCGCCATTGCCGCACTTTTGAGCAACTAAAGACGAGGCGCATCACACCGAAGTTCGGCAGGCTAGCCAATGTGACGACTATCGCGAGTATAGACAGCAACCAGGTGCTTGATCTTGCATCAACAATCCGGCAAATAGTACGCGAAGAACTCGGCCTGTACGTGCAAGTGGCACACCACCCAAGCAAATATACCCCATACCTGCCTACAGAGTTCGAGCGAAACATTGCTTCATTCTCCTCGCACCGAGTGACGGAGGGCATTGAGGATTCTAATACCACACCTCAGTATCAGCCACGTCTCTACGATAGAGGCCCTGCCTATGACACTGGATCACAACAAGGACAGCCGCGTTCTTATACTCAGGACTCTCAGCCGGACTACGTCCCGCGGCAAGGACAGTACCGACGCTACTACCAAGATGCAACTTACGGCGAATACAATGGATTCCAGAGAATGGCAGAAACCCGTTCTTCGCCTGATAACAAACTTCCTCGCCGACAGCAGCGGCCCAGGATTCGTTCCGATGAATACAGTATAAACCGTGACCCTACCGTGTGCTACAACTGTGGTTTCACTGGGCATATCGCTCGGTATTGCCGCCAACAACGCCGCCAATCACGAAGGACACCAGCCATGTCTTCGCCACCAAGACCCGGTGCTTCATATGACATGCGGACAACCGACTTGTTTCCGAGGGACCGTTTTTCACGCGAGACTAGACGCAGCGATTCGCCAGCATCCGAGCGGAGTTTGACACCACTATCCAACCGTTCTCGTCGCTCGCCGTCTCCTGTGCGTCGTCCTTCTCCGCCGCCGGGAAACTAGCATCCGCGGCCAATGGAGGTGAGGTCGCCGGACGGTCTTTTCAAGATATACCTCTGCCTATTGTGATGCTGAAAAACAAAGTGAATGTGTTGATTGATGGAATACCGACGATGGCGTTAGTTGACACTTGGGCTACTGTGTCTGTGATGAGCCTCGCCTTCAGAAACCGCTTAGGTCGCAAAGTTATGTTTTCATGGAACGATACAATCACCTTTCGTGGTGTAGGTGGCGAGTAGCTTAATCCTCTTGGTGAATGGGTTGTCAGTGTTTCATTGGCTGGAAAAGTATTTGTATCCGAATTTATGGTTCTATCTCGTTGTTCGCACGATTTAATTCTTGGTATCGATTTTCTGGAGCAATGCGGCGCTTCCGTCGACTGTGGTAGTGGGGAAATATCATTAAACAATTTGTTTCTACCGTCGCTTTCCGAAGAAGACTACCATGGCGAAGACAGGAACACACTTAGTGTGATTGATGAAGTGACAGCACCATCTTGGTGCGTGACACCCGTTCGAGTCTCTTCCACAACAGTTGATGCTGCTTGTGTTGACCTCGTAGTGGGGCCTCTATGCAAGAACTGTTTTAAGAAGGACATACTTGTACCCTGTTCTGTTGTGTGCATGACAAAAGGAGTAGCAACATTGTGGGCGCCGAACTGTTCTGCCATGCCGGTTGTGCTTCCTCGCGGGATGAAGATAGCTCTCTTCGATGAAGCCTCATGCAGCTCAATAGCAGCACTAGTTACGGACCTCACCACCTCTTCCTCTCCTTGTGATATTTGCAATAATGAAGATTTAATGCTTGGTATGATCAGCAAGACTCTCAGTACAACGGAACGGCAAGCGCTGGTGCAGGTCCTTTCTCGGTATGTTGCTGCTTTCGACTTCAAACATGGAGATGCACCCCTTCAGTTACCCTCGTCTCGCGCTCGTCACAAAATAGACACCGGCTCTGCACACCCCATCCGCCAAAAGCCCTACCGAGTGTCATCCTCTGAGCGCAAAGTTATCGCCGAACAAGTAAAGGACATGCTGAACAAAGGTGTCGTGCAAGAGTCGTCCAGCCCGTGGGCACCCCGGTAATTCTTGTCAGAAAAAAGGATGGTTCCTGGCGATTCTGTGTAGATTACAGGCGTTTAAACACTGTGACGAAGAAAGATGTATATCCCTTGCGGCGGATTGATGACGTCATAGATAGCTTGCACGCCGCTTTCTATTTTTCAACGCTTGATTTGCGGTCCGGTTATTGGCAAATACCTATGGAACCCGGCGGCAAAGAAAAGACTGCTTTCTGACTCCGGATGGCCTATTTGAATTTAACATCATATCTTTTGGCCTTTGTAATGCTCCAGCCACCTTTGAAAGATTTATGGACACAGTATTACGTGGTCTAAAATGGGAGATATGCATGTGCTACCTTGACGATGTTGTGATCTTTGGCCGTACATTTGAGGAATATAACAACCGTCTCAGTCTTGTGTTCGACTGCATCGAAAAAGCTGGGCTGGTTCTGAATTTAAAAAAATGTCGCTTTGGCGAACGTCAAACTCTGGTGCTGGGCACTTGGTCGACAAGGATGGTGTCAGACCCGATCCTCGCAAGATAGAAGCAGTGAGCTCTTTTAAACCACCACAATCCGCACGAGAACTTCGCTCATTTGTCGGCCTACGCACATATTTTCGTCGTTTTGTTCCACGATTTGTGGAGATCGTGTACTTGCTGACAAGCATCTTGCGACAGGATGCCTTCTTCAACTGGACACCAGAATGTGACGCCGATTCTCACAACTTAAGTTTGTACTAACGTCAGCTCCACTGTTGCGTCACTTCGATCCATCTTGCCCGACTGAAGTCTACACGAACGCTAGTGGTATCGGCGTAGAAGCGGTGCTTGTACAACGTCACAATGGCGCAGAGCATGTCATGGCATATGCCAGCCGATGCCTGAGCAAATCTGAACGCAATTACACAGTTACGGAACAGGAATGTCTGGCAGCTGTTTTCGCCGTACAAAAGTTTCGTTGTTATCTTTATGGGAGGCCATTTAAGATAATTACCGATCACCATTCGTTATGCTGGCTTGTTGGTTTGCGTGACCCCTCTGGCCGCCTCGCATGTTGGGCGCTGCGACATCAGGAATACGACTTTACGGTGTCGTACAAGAGTGGCCGTCGTCACGCTGACGCAGACTGCCTCTCCCGGATTCCTCTTGCGACTACCAACTGCGATGCTGAGAATTTCGACGACTGCCTTGCCGCTGTTACAAGCACGTTCCCCAACGCGGCTGACTTCCAGAGAGAACAAAGTAACGATCTCAACCTGGATCCTCTTTTTGCCATCGCACGTGCCTCCCAACACAGCGGTCACTTTACGGTCCGAGACAAGTTGCTCTATAAAACTAACTACTCCAGACATGGAGCACGTTTTCTTCTAGTTGTTCCCGACAGCCTTCGCTCCGATGTGCTACGTGCTATGCATGACAATGCGACATCCGGTCATTTCGGCTTCATACGAACGCTGAACCGCACGCAGGAACGCTTTTACTGGCCCAAAATGTACGAAACAACGAAACGTCACGTCGCTAGCTGCGAGACGTGCAAACTCACAAGCGCCCAGCCACCGCTACACCAGGTCCCCTTCAGCCAATAACACCACCCAGCACGCCTTTTGAACAAGTACGAATTGACATTATGGGTCCATTTCCGTTATCTAATAATAAGAAACGTTGGATAATCGTCTGCATAGATCATTTTACGGGGTATGCCGAAAGCGCAGCCATTCCCTCTTCTACCGCTGCATCCGTAGCAGTCTTCCTGCTCCACTCTGTGGTCCTGCGCCATGGCCCACCGCGTGTTACCACAGCGACCGTGGCCGTCAGCTCACTGCTGATGCCGTTGAAGAATTACTACGCATGTGCACGACCTAGTTCCGTCATTCCACACCGTATCATCCGCAGACGAATGGCCTCGTGGAACGGACAAACAGAACGCTGACCAACATGCTTGCCATGTACGTTTCTTCCAATCACAAGAACTGGGATGAAGTGCTGCCTTTTATCACGTATGCCTACAACACGGGGAGACATGAAACAACAAACTTCGGCCCATTTTATCTGTTGTACGCCAGGTTGCCACTAAGCCCCCTAGACCCTTTATTACCCTTCATTGTACACAATGACGACTCTGTATTGAACACCCTGTGACTCGCGGAAGAAGCCCGTGGAATCACTCGTCTTCGAACTCTGGCCTCTCAACGTCGCTCGAAGGAACGTTACGACGACCGTCACAAACCGGTATTATTCGAAAAAGGTGGCTTGGTGTTGCTTTGGACACCGCAACGCAAGCGTGGATTGTGTCAAAAGCTTCTGTCATGCTATTCAGGCCCATTTCTAGTTTTGGAGCGTCTCAGCCAGCTCACTTACGTAATAGCTCGTCTTTTGTCCAATGGTCGACGATCGAGCAGAACGCAGCTCACTCACATTGCTCGCCTGAAACCGTTCTACCCTCCGTGGGAATCATAACTCGCCCTACTGGCTTCGTCTGCTTGCGGGGAAATGTAACGGGCTAGTAGAAGGCAGAGAAGAGAAGGAGAGGAAGACTAAGAGTCTTGGCAAGATCGCAGTGCGCTGCCACGAACGACCATCGCTCACCTCTTGTAAATAAAGCCATTTCATCACAGCTCGCTGTAACAATTTTTTACAGGTTATCGCTTGCATTATACCGAAGGACAAGTCCTGCTACTATTCAAAGTTGTTTCCACTTCCTTTGAGCCAAAAAGAATAGCATAAGGACAGGCCTTGTTTCAATTTAGAAAAAAAAAATATTTTGCAGGTTAGTTGGGTAATGACAAATATGCCGATTTTTTTTATAATATGGGATATGTAGTATTTGAATTCCAATTTGAAATTATTCTAACTAAATCCCTATTCATTTTGAAGCTAAAATTCACTAATGTTATTTCTTTTTTGCCGGTGTGTTAAAGGGACACTGAAGGCAAATATTCAGTCGATGTTAATTGATGAAATAGCGGTTCAGAAACTTCGTAGTACTACTTTTGTGCCAAAGAATTGCTTATTTTTGAAATGCAGCAGCTGTGACCAGACACCTGGTATGGTACTCTGCACACATAAACTTATAGCCAAAGAGCAACAATGAATAGAAGCATTCCTAGGAATTGGGGACATCTGGATGTGGCGCCATCTCTCAGCAGCAGAAACGGCAGGCTGCCACAACTGAATGGAAAATAGGTGAGAAAAATCATATCTCTTGAAAAAAAGCTTGTTATCAAAAATGACTCTGGGATAGATGCAGCAGAGACTCACAGGTACATAATTGGCAAAATCACAGCATCGCACTACAAGGCGTGTGGCTTGCCAGGATAATTGAACACCGCCCATGGAAACACACGAGACATCATACTTAAAAACGCTGTGGGTTTGAAGTCTGACACTGTAACTTTGCCTGATTGTTCAAATTAGTCTCTGCTGTATAAAACCGGAAGTCATCTTTGACAACTAGCATTTTTCATCCAATATAGTTTTTTTTGCCTTTTTTACATTCAGTTACAGCAGGCCGCCACTGTGGCCGACGAGAGATGGTGCTACATGCACATGTCCCCAAATTCTGGTCATGGGAATACAGTCGCCGACCGATTTTCCGGACTCCAAAAATTCGGACTTGTTGGATATTCCGGACTTCATAAATGCACCGTCAGGGTTCCCATAAAGCTAATGCATTGTTTCGACCGATTTTTCGGGCGAATTTGCCCCTGAAAGTTCGATTTTTCGGACTAAATCGCTCGTTTTGTGCCACGCTCTAACCCGCTGTGAACGCCGCCATGTTGGATTTTCTGTCGGCTTGGCTAAGCTTGGTTTTCAGATGTTTTTCTTGCCTCCGAGATTGGAATGCGCACGCCATGTTTTAAGTTTCGGAGGCCGTGTTTGCTTTTTAAAAGACGCGGTGATGGATGCCGTTTTTTCGTCTTCGGTCAGCACTATCGTCATCACATCGCACGGGGAGGAGGCGAAAGAAGGATTCTTTTATTGTCGTTGCAGCTTTTTTCAGTCGCCATTCTGCACGTGTTGTGTCGCGCAGCGTCGAGACGTTGTGTGCTTCGCAGCGGCTATTTGCGGCATCGAATTTTGTGTTCTCGGTGCCATGGCTCCGCTATCTGTGCCATCGCGGGAGCCAGGTGGTGTGAAGAAGCGTGGGAAGTATACGACCCTGACGATGGAGAAGAAAGCTGCCATAATCAAGCTAATAGAGAGTGGACGTTCGCAGCTAGATGTCGCTGAATGACGGTCGACGCCGGATGGCGGTCGTCGTTGTCGTCGGATGACAACGACGACCGCCCGCAGCCGTCGGAGATCGCCAACGCGGTGACAATTTTGTCGAGCGTTTACGGCGACGATGTCACCTTGGCGCAAATACGGGCAAACCAAATTGCCTCCAAGCGTAGTTTGAGGCAAGGCAGCATCAAGGACTTTTTTAAACCTGCTTGATGCAATAAACTTCAGATTTTTGGCGAAAACGAATTTTTCGGACTGTTCGATTTTTCGTACTTTTTTTTGGTCCCCGCCAGGTCCGAAAAATCGGTCGGCGACTGTAATGGATTACAGAAAGCTTGAATAGAACAGTGTATTCGCAACATATTAGTGACTGCCAAGTAGCAGGACCGCTCCAGTGTTTTGTCGAAAATTGGCAGGCACAAATGGGGCCTTAGTACGTGCGCGATGATGGCTCTAGAAGCAATGCATAGAATGCATGTCAAATTAAGTAAGCGATGTGTGACTGCTTTGCCTCCTTGCATTGTTACCCCTCCTCAAAAGAATTACCAACTCACGCTTGTTGCTGTTCGATAAGCGTTAGAAGCACACTGGCGAGGTAGAATCCTTGGCCCAAGGAGTTGCGCGGCAGATTCAGCTCGTGCAGTACGGCTGCTGCCTGCTCAAATCCCAGAGATACCAGCATACGCTGTGCCACACTTTGCAATGTCAGCGGTGTCTGGGTGTCTGTTGACTTCTGTGGCTTTCCACACGACAGGCACGTGACGACGACCCTCTCAGTGCGGTGGCGCCCAACCAGCTCCATCGCCAATTTCCATTCCTGGGGGGACTCCGGCACGAACCCTGGAGTGGGGGGTGGGGGGCAGCAATTGGAGGAAATGAGCTTGAGTGATTCATGCGAGTCTAAACAATGGCATTTAAGGTAAAGAACAATGCAGAGTTCAGCAAATTAGGGACCCACTGAATGTACTAGTTCGGACTATACTTGTAGTAAGTTACAATGCTGGAGCATTTATGCTATTGGTTTGGGAAATAACAAAGTTTTTTGCCATAGATAGAGCAACAAAAACATTTCCCATTTATGTTGTTATAAAGCCAAGCCCCTTTATAAGAGACACCAGTGTGCTTACATCAAAATAGAGGTTGATAAAAAAACACACACCTGGTACCATGCTTATAAAAACACCTCATAAAAAAGAATTCCTGTCTGATGCATGCCTCTTAAGGGTTCAACTGTAGTACATATCCATTGATTTTGTTTATATTATTACCCACGGTTTGTTGCACCCGCTCCTTGCAGGAAGATGACATCACATAAAAACACGTATGCTTGGGCATGTGGGCAATTCATGTTGACTTCTTTTTGTACACCGAACGAACAAGGACGGAAAAGGATGACATGAATGCAGCGCTAATAACATCAGTTCCAACAGCCCTATAACATAGTTTTGCATTTGTTTCAGATAGAAAAAAAAAGTATACAATTTTTGAAGGTGCCAGTTCTAGTGATGCCCTCCAGATGAAAGGGTATATTTAAGAAACATATTTTAAAACTTTGGGTGTTCAATGCAGATTATTTTAGCAACACTACAGTTAGCAGTTTAAGGCCCGTTAACTATGATGATCAAATTAGTCATTGTTTATCTCATAATAAATACTAAAATGATAAAACTTGAATAAAGCCAACTGTGAACTCTATATGTGATCATTTAAAAGAAATGACATAGTATATTTGGCATGAAACAAACAACATTGCTAGGCATTCCAGACTGTCCATCAAGAAGAATTATAGGTTAATCTTTCCACTTCAGCATTTCTTTATGTATAGTTGTGATTCTGATAGTAACACAATTTTACAGAAACCGAAAACAAATCAGTTGCCAGCAAGTGTAAAATCGATATATGATAACTGGCAAAAAATATTTACCTAGAAAATTGTCCGGCATAAGCAGCTCAGCATCTCCCAACTGTATCACATTCACAAGATGCTCTGTCCGATGGCCCAAGTGTTTCAGTGCACAGAGATAGCCAGGCCAAAACCTAACATGGGTGAAAGTATGAAATCAACTGTTACAAGTAACCAAATGGTCTTGTCCAGAGTACAGTAATCCAGTCATAAAAGTAGCCATAGCCCGGTGCAACTTCCTTTAAAGCAGTGAAACAAAAGCCTGCACTAAAAAGCGCGCACTCTCAACTGACGTCATACACCGCGTGGTTGCTGACCTCACCCTTGAAGACATTGTTGAGTGCATGAGGTAGACGACTTTTCTTGGTCACAGAGAGGTGCCTCGCTTCATTCGCCTACTTAAAGTTGTATCCGACTTTAGCTATGGCCCTAATAACCCTTTAATGACTAAATTATGAAACTGCCATACAAAATAAAAGTTGTTTCCATTTTCCAGCTTTAAATAGCTACCTTTCAATAATTTCACAGTGAAATTACCTAAAATGCTACATTAATGCACACTTTTATGTACGTCGCAAATCCTCCATTTGCCACAGAAGCGGGAAACTTACAACAAAAAACATGCTTCAGAACTACGTAACATGTCATGTGCCTTTTCTTGAGTGCGTACACACCAAATAAACAAAATTATTGGAGATAGAACCTAGTACACCACCCAGGCAAGAAAAATTGAAGCGATAGCTGTTGCACGTGCCACGTGCTTTCCGCCATCGGCTACAAAACAAGTGCTTCTAGCATGACATGCCTTAGACGAGTCGGCTCTAGATTTTTCACTCTGAAAGCTACATTCTCCATGCATACTTGACAGCCGGCACTCATGGCGGCATGCATTTTGTGACTCGCTTGCTCGGAGTTTTTCGGTATGTCGCGAATTCACAACACTCGGCAATAAAAGGTAAACGATTTGCTGCGTGCCATCACGACATTATGACAATAAATAATATCTACGTGATGCCTATGACATTGCTGCACTAGCCAGGGCAGTCACCTTTCTTTGCAAACACTGCACACAACTACTACTTTTACTAAGACTGCTTTGTTACTACTAATACTTCTGCTACTGCAAGTACTACTTCTACCGTTACTGCGACTGCTACCAGTACTACTACTATCACTACTAGTACAACTACTGATATGATGATCATCCCATTCACCTTCTCATTTATGGCAAGGAAGAGTTTTCCATCGATTTTATCTGCCATGGTTAAAGAGCTGCTGCAGGTGTCGTCAAACCGAAAGGAATGAAACAACAAACACATTTTACTTACGCGTATGTCCGACAAAGCTCCAAGCTCTTCTGGGAGATCCAGTCCTTGTTGCACAAAACAGCTTTTAAGTGCTCATACATAGGCCAATTACTTTTGTGCGAGTTGTAGCTGAAACGAAGAAAAAAAAGTCAGGAAAAGCAAGCAGCAAATGGGCTTAGAACATTTTTCAGAATACAAGAGATTCATAGGTTCTTTTCTGTTAATGTGACCTGGAGATGGCCATGCTGCAGCTGGCAACAACATAACGAGGATTTCTATCCTAAGCTGGTGTCAAACCGCAATTTCTGAAAAAAGGTTTGCTGCTTCATGGTATTTTGATGGCACACAAACACTCACTCAAGCTTGACACTTTTATGAGTGCTTGTAATATTGCAGGATATTTATGGGTTTGATTTAAAATTTTTTAAAATCCAAACGTAATGAAGCAAGTGTAACAAACAGCCCGCATGCAGAACATGTGCAGCTGTCGAAGTATGAATTGGAAGCGTATATCCTCTTAGGAACTTTGCTCACCTCGGAGCTCCGCAGGAACACTTGAGGCACTCGTTATTTACAGATTGCAAGCACTGTGTCACCCACTCCCATCGAACTTCCTCATTTTCAAGGTACTTGCGCAGTGATGAGAGCCTAGAAGGACACGCAGACGTACACTTGCAAACCAGGAAGCCAAGAATGCACACTTCAAACTGCAGCGCCATAATCTCTTTAAAAGGCACACCACTAACCCCTACACGAAACTTTTCCAAGATTTCCCAATTTTTTTTCCACATTTCTTTTATTTTCTCCTTCATTTTTGAATGCACTCACTCCTTTATGTATTACTCTTGTAAGAAGAGCCCATAGGGGCATGTTAATAAATGAATAAATAAATAAATGTTTCCGAGTCGCTGAACACACTAGCAAGAATTCATTTAACTGTATACTCATGACTGTAGACTCCTTGTATAGAAATTACATTACATTCAAATGAATCTCAACAGATATTTAATTAAAGATAACAAGAAGTGAAAAGAAACACAACAGAATTTCTACAACAGCTTTTGTAGGAAACGCTTTCAGGATTTGTAGAATGACTGGATCTGCATCCCCAGTGCCTGTAATCTCTTGAGCACGCAAAGTAGCCTGCCCACTGCCAGGTGCTCTACTGGGCACAGGCTAACAGCAGCTCAGGTCATGTGTCCAGTGGCTTGAGAGCTATTACGATTGCTATTACGATTACAAACTCCAGATTACGATCGAGTCATACACAAAATGTGTCGCTGGCATTGGTCATGAATTTCCACTATCCTGCGACAAAATGTAGGCTGGCCAGATAGGAAGGTGTGTCAATGAGCGTGCGTGGAACACAAGCTTTCGCTAAAATGTTAAGATGGGGCGCAATTATTGACTTAATGCAATTCACATAAGTCTGAGCATGCCTGAACAAGATTCAGATTCTGGGCAGAAGGGACATGAATAGCTGCAGCCAATCCATATAAAAGCACAAGGTTCTTTATGTATCCATGATACTTCAGTGTGTCTCTCGATGGCAGAGAGAAAGTTCTGAGATCACAGGTTGAGATTAAGATGGTATGCACTGTCACTTGTCCCGTTAATTCGGGACGCGATCGCCGGGCTAATTCCAAGGGCCGAAGTATCGACCCCCCGAACCGCACCACGAAAGCGTGGACAATTTAGAAGTGGTCCTTTTTGGCGTGCCAGCGGACGCCGGCTGTGGCCCGAAGAACAAGTCAGAGCCGAGAGTTGATGAACCAAAACAAAATTATATTCTCACTAATGGCAGATCAAAAACAATACACAAGTATGCACACTCCACAATAGTTGAGTACAATATGTCACCAATCAAACAACGTACTACACAGTACAATCAGCCACACTCGAAACAACGGACACAGACAACAATACGCGCTACAGTGCAGTTGCATGCATTGAACAACCAAGACACTTAAAGACTAAAGAGATAGAAAACCTATTCAGTCCAAAGTTCTTGGAACAAAAGTCTGGATGATACTCTTCTGAGAATCACTCACTCAAAGTCCAGCGTTGTTGTCGTTCCGCTGCCCCCGAAGTTTCTCTTCCAGGAAACCTCGACTGCCCCCGAAGTTTCTCTTCCAGGAAACCTCGCGTCTTCACTTGGCCACTCTCCAAGCTTCAAACTTCTTCGCCGGAAATACATAGGCTTCACACATGCAGCTGTTGCCACGCGTCTTCGCTCGATAGCAGTAGACACACGCTCTTGCCTGTAGCTCGAGCCTTCACCCCTTAGGTGGAAATCCTCCTCTTCTCCTGCTTTGTCCCTACGGACAAAACCTTCGCCAACTACACGACAGAATCCCTACGCACTCTGGCGCTAACTTCCGTCTTCTCCTGATCTCTCATCTCGGCTGCTCGATTCCACGCGAGATTCCAGAAAGTTCTCATCATTTCGTCGGCGCGATACGCAGCGAAGGCAGGGGAGAAGGCGAGACGGTTCGAAGGCCGTCCGCGACGGATGACTCAACCCGGCATCACCACGCCCCTTTCCATCGAGAAATTTCGAGGCCTTGCTCGGCCGCCGATGTGGGATGAGGAGGTTCGTCGGCGATCCTACGCTTCCAAGGGGAGAGGGGCATGCGCCCGGGGAGTCTTTGGATGCTTGTTTTCTTTTTTTTTTTTTTTATCGTTGACCTCGTGGCGTCACTCCGGCGTTTCGTCGCGAGAATTTGGCGGCGCGCCCTTTTTGAGCGCTCGTTCTGTGACATGCACTCGAACTTTACCTGTCTTGTTCAGCGTGTCTGTGCCTATATATTTCGTTGTACTATATGTTCAATAAACAGTCAAAGCCTCTGCCCCTTGACACCGCCCCTCCTTATTTCCTTGCGCAAAAAACAGGCATACTTTCATGGATTGTACATGTAAAATTGCTACTACTGTTGAGGAAAACGTAAAAGCACTGTGTTTCTGAAGTACCTGGTATTGGCCAGTTCCAGAAGTGTCGAGATTCTGATGTCATTTAACTGTCAAGGTCAACCCAACAGCTGAACGTATGCCACCGCCGTGAAGCTTCACCTTTACAATGAGAATAGAGTGACAACTTTTGCCTTTGCTATTTTGAGCAAAGAAAAGCTTAACCCAGCTCCACTCAGTGTGAAATGTGCAGAAAGGGCAGAGCTATAGTTCTTGTGTGTTTCCTCTATGATTTTTTGCAATTTCCCGTGATGTTTTGCGAATTTCTGTGGGTGTCTGTGATTACGTTGTTTGTAGAGTTGAGATGCAAGGGATAGGACGTGTGCCAGCGCTTGTCACACCCATCCTGCTCATACATGGCATCCATACCAACCCCCTTAAAACCAAGACATGAAGAATAACAAGGCGACTTTGACAAAGATAGGCCCCTCTATCGAAACGTCGGCCAGCCTGTCTGAGGCACTTCCTCCGTTCGCCCTGCTTATCTCACCCTGCTACAGTGACCTTGGGCCATATTCATTGTGGAGCCGCCTTTCCCCGTATCACTGTCTGGCTACCACCTTATCTGGGAACTAGAGCATGACATGCAAAGAGTATACTCATCTATCATCAGGCCCAGCCCTAGAAGAGGTGTGCTCTTAAATTTAGTAGAAGCGTGAAACACTCTGAAAGGCGTGGTTGATTAATGTGTGCACTTACATCTGCGGCAAGGTGAAGCAGCTTAGAGCACCCTGCATGGCTCCGAGAAAAAGGGATTCCACCTTGCACAGCTGAGTAAAGTAAAGGATGTCTCTTGCCGACAGACTGCTGGCTTTCTTGGCGAAGGCGTCCGCTGCTTTGTCCTGCGCCACTTCGTGCAATCTGCAGGAGAGCGTCGCTGCTAATTAGAAACACGGAAATTTTCTCGCGTGGCTTATGATTGATTGTTTGGACAAAAAGGACTGATAAAAATCAAATGGTAAGTCGAGCTAACGCGGCAACCATTTTGCAATCTTGAAACGCCCAAGATGCTTTATAAAGCAACACAAAGACAAAAAAACTATTATGAAAAGTTATGTCCGGTACGACAAGGAACACAGAAGAGTGGGAACAGTTCCGTGGTATCACAAGATAATATCACTGTTATGGTACTTATAATACTCGATTCCTATGTAGCAGACAAATGTGTGAAAATCTTGGCTTCTGTCTGCATGCATATGTGATAAAAAAAGTAGTTTAACTGTAACATGTGCAAGCAAGACAGAGGTATGTGCCACATAACTTGCTGTAACACTGTTTCATACTTTTATGTTGCAAAACAAGTAGCCATTATTATGCACGGAGTGTGTCACAGTTCTGAATCTAATATTAACAACAAAATGACCAAAGTCTTATGTTCATGTGACCTGCTGCGACGGCACACTGCTTGTGCTCGCAGTCAAAACACAGTGTGTCACAGAGTGAAATCAAAGGTGCAAAAATATGCAATTTGACATAAGTCTTGCCCCAGCAAGCAGTAGTTATAATAATATAATGTGCTATTCCACAAGAAGCCTTTCAGCTCTGAAATTACTGCATTTGGAAAGTGCACGCAGTCAGACGATAAATCCCCATTCACCTCTTTATTGAGTCAATTGACCGCATCTCATGCTTACAAATTTGTTGACCTCATTCTATCACATAATCTTTTTCCATGCTGATTACATCCAATATAGGGCAGCACGGTTCATATCACAAAACTATATGTACTACAACAGTATCACATGAATTAAAACCTATCTTTGCCTACAGTCCTTAGCAATGCGCCGTGACATAGCTCTACTAGCATTATTCCACAAGTATGTCCACTCTGACAGGTCACGTTCATTTCATCTTAATGTGCCATTCCGAACATTCAGAACATTACATGATAATTAAAGTTTTACATGCCTATATGGTCGTACATTAACATTCAACTCATGAGCACTCCCACGAGCCATTGTATTATGGAATAACCTGCCAGACAACATAACTTCATTGTCCAACCCCGACACATACACCAACAACTAATTGCTCATCTCCACTGAAGTAGTTGATTGTCCATTAATAAAAGCACAATTTTTGTATACAGGTGTATGTATATATATATATATGTGTATTGTACCACTATTATGTATACACCACGTATTTATTCACTATGTATTATACGTTATGTACATGTTATGTATGAAGCATTCAATTTTTTAAATTGTATTTTACTAGTGGTGTTTGATTCCTTTACATTTTTTGCTCATTGATGTTCTTTTAGAGCCCCCCTTACACAATGCCCAACAGGCCTCTAAGAAATTTCAAATAAAAAAAGAAATAATTTACATGCACTTCTGAATTCCAGTAGCTCCACCCCCTCCAAATCTTGGAATGAAATTGTGCTTGCAAAAAAAAAGCAGCAGGCTTAGGACAGTATTCTTCTGGTCAACAAACACGAGTACACAATCCTCCTCTGATTGGGCCAATAACATGTCTTAAACTTAGCTGTGATATGTGTGTATGGCACCTGAGTGCCACTGAGCTGCATGTTTCAGTTTAGCAAACTGCATTTAACTGAACTAAAACACAGCTGTTAAGGACATTATTTGAAATAGCATACGTTTTCAAGATGGAATATTAACATGTAACTTACAGCATAAAGTAGGCAAGGAGCAGCCACGGCCGACCGGCCATGTTTTGCATCTGCTGTGCAATGATGACTAGATGTTCAGGACCACCCTCGTTCCGATGTCGACCCTTCAACTCTTGAAGCACACCCAACACCACTGTGCTCCACGTCTCAAAACACGGACTCTCTGTCAGTTGCACAACATCCCACAAAACTTCAAGATCGAGGAGATGAAAGTAATACCGGATGAAGAGTGCAGTTTTGGCATCGTTCACGTGGTTTCTGAACAACTCTGCCTTCTCCTTACTCTGTGGAATCATTGGCATCCAGGACACTGATGTAGCTTCACTTTGGGAACCCTGACTAGGCGACAGATCACTGTAAACTGACAAGTTTCTTTGGCCTGTGAAACCCTCACCTGCAACACTCTCACATGAATTCGCTCCTTGGTGCGATGCAAAACCATTCATACTGACAGCATTCAAACACTCGTCTTTAAGAACACTAGAGCCCTCTGTTGGCACTGCTATGGCTTTATGCGCTCCAACACTCTCATTCTCTGTAAGGGGAGAATGACTTGGAGAAGCGCTTGGAACAGTGGCAAGTTCTTCGGAACCTCGCTGCTGATTTGCACCCTCAGCTCTGTCACCGTTCGTCTCTTGCCTGCACTGACTGAGGGACGTCTTTCTCACAGAGAGCGCACTGGGCTGCTGCACCGATTCCTCAGGCCGGAAGTCCAGGTTGATTGAGAGACCTCCGCAAGACGATGACATGCTCTGGAACATGGCCGATTCGCTGCACGAGTCAACGGTCGGCATGTCAGAGAGGTGGAACCCGTACTTCTCGGATGCCGAGGACCGCATAGAGAGACTGAGGTCACAGTGCGTTGAAGCGTCCTCGCTGCAAAGCGAATTTGTGCTACCGTGTTTGGACAGCTTCACATCTGTGGCCGCGGAGCTGCCGTTGTACATTGACGATGCGAGCTTCTCGCGACCTTCGAGTTCGGACACCTTTGCGGCGACTCTCTCCACGGTGCCGAGGGTTCGGGTCTGAAAGCACAGCATTGCCAGCTCCTTGGCTTTCTCAGCCACTTCAGAGGGGAGACGAAACGGATCGCTCGTGAAGATGGATTTTATAAGGTTCAGTTGCTCGCTGATTTTGGTGCCGCAATGGGAGCTGGGAGAAGAGAATGTTTCATCGGGAGACTTCTGTACACTATCACAGTGGCTTATAACGGCAGGAAGTTTCGCAGTCTCCGTGGATGCTATCTGGTTGACTATGGAAATCTGAGTGGAATGTAAAGCTTCGAGCCATTCTTCAAGAACTATGACAAGGCTGGGACCATGGTAGAATATGCTGGGGTCATTTGCACTTGCACTGAAAAAAAGAAACACAAATATGCTAACGATCAAGCGCAACACTTTTTGGTGAAACTCAACAAGTGCAGTAGACATTAGTCATCGTAAATTATGGGGAAAGATGAGCTATAGAACTAACTCTGCTCATGCTTGCACATGAAGAAAATTTAGTAATGACAGTCTCAAATTATTGAAAATAGCAGACTCAAGACAAAATGGCAATTTTTTTGTCACTTGTCATAGTGTATGTCACTGTTGGCATTAATTTGCAACTCTCATAAGTATTCAGAAAAAATAATAAAGCTGAAATACAAATAGAGCAAAAGAAGGACAGGAAAAAAAAGCAAAACAAGACAAACTACAAAAGATTATAGTTTTACCTTGCCCGCAAGGTTGCTTCTATGAAGCTACTGTTCACACTGGGAAGAAAAGACCAAAACTCATCCTTCGGAGTCAGGTGCTTGCTGAATTTTTCTCCAGGCTTTAAGTTAGGATCAGCTGTAATTAAAAAAAAAGAAAAAGGCAATAAGTAATATTACTACACTACAAATAGGGTTGAGTTGCCTATGCACCTAATTTGAGAGTTTTATGCTAAAATGCATGGTAGAGAAGACTTCAGAAAAGTGCATTAGCTGTCACTTACAGTTGATCCCGAATATATCAAACTTGGAATTATTGGCTATATCAAACAGTTAAGAAAACCCCTTTAATTTCCTATGCAAAAGTACGGGACCAATGCACCCGTATATCGAACTCTCGCACAGCGGCACATCCGCTATGTCGAACGCTGCGCCACACCAAAGCACAGAAAGTGCATTTTTCCTAGGAAATAGTGATCAAATTTGGCCACGTTCTAACAAGTACCGATCCCTTTTCGTGCACAGGTGAAAAAATGGAGGTGTTATTCTATCGCCCTCATATGGTTCATTGCACGGTGCTTGCGAATGCACCGGTACGTTTGATGCGCCATCTGCAGGTCTTAACGCGCATGCATAGTGTTTTACAGAGAAAGCTGTTATGATATCACAACACAGGTCTCGTGTGGTGCCTTAGTTGTTTGCCGCTGTCGTCGCCACTGGTGTCTGTAACCACTATTGCACGAACTAAGAAAAAAAATTTTTAAACAAAAAACATTGAGAACACAGTGGCATTTGAACCCGGGCCCCCTGCGTGCCAGCCCAGTATTCCACCTCTGAACCATGCTGGTGCTTGGAACTCATTTTTAAACTTTCCTTAGGTAGGCTTGATGTCAGGAAAGGAATCGCGTTAATATGAGTAATAAAATGTTTTAGAACAGTAAAGGAACAACCAGGCATCACAATGCAAATTGCATAACGAGTGAATCGTCCAACGCTCCAACCCCTTAAAAAGAACTTCTTATTGATGATATATTAACTGTGTCGCATACCCACTTCAGGCATAACTCTTTATCATCGCCAGCCACTGCAGAAAAAAACTTGCACAAATTTTTTTGAAAGTCTGCACTGGATACCATGTTTCTCTGAATGATGATGAAGGATAGAATAGTGAATTCCAGCCTATTATACAGCAATTATGACTATTTATGGCATAGTGGGTACCCAGCAAGCGTGCTTGTAGCAGTTACCCAAAGAGTGATTAGAAAAGGCTCTGAAAAGCCGCTCTTTCAGCTTTCGCTGTGACTGTACTGCGCGCTCCGCGCAGGCCTGGCGATTTGTATTGCGATATCAATTATATGAACACTCTCGGCTAGATTTCGCCGCTGGCGTCGATGTCATGTACCGTATATGTATACGTATCTATATATGTGAAAACGCAACGAAGAAAAAAATCCAGAAAAAAACACTCCGGCGCACGGACACGAATGTGGAACCTCTGCGTCGTGAAAGTGAGGCGTTAACCACTGAGCCACCCCTGAGAACGTTCTTCACCACTCAAACAGCAAGCTATTTATATCTACCACTTACCGCTGCTATGTTTTCGGCATTATCAGAAAGGTGGCGCAATGAGCGCACGTCGCCACATCACGCAGCAGCACCCGCTCTAATCTCCTATGCGTAGTTTGCCCGGATTAGAAAAGGGGAGCTATGCTTCTCGCTCACTCTTATCTCGCGGTGGCGAGGAGGGGAGGATCGTACGTCTTGGCTGGCCTCGGGCTTTACGTGAAACGATTCTGCTGTAGTTACCGGGCGCGCAAAGGTCACTGCAATCATTTCAGTCTCCGTTTGCAAAAAGCGTGTACTTTTCAGACTCAGTGAAGTAACAAATGAGACGCTTATTCGCATGCATCCATACCTGTGAGTACGTTTCGTGTGTCATTTGTGCGCGAGAAATGCGGGGCACGTTTCGATCTGTTTTCCACTCAGCGCGTGACCTTTCAAATTGTTGCTATTGCGTTCATTGCTTCGTCTTTGCGGCAAAGCTGTGACTTTTTTCAAAAGACCAATTGCCGAGAACACTAAGATATGAATGCGAAGTGACTCGGCGATCTCATTGGAATGTTTGCATTCCCTTCCTTTTTCGTTAGCGCACTATGGCTAAGGTCTCTAAATGAAACAAGTTTCCAAGGTAGCTACACCGTTCCCTTTTATCCTCGCCTATGCTCTTGAAGCGCTTCCTAGAAGGTTCAAAAGTTTCATCAAAAAGCGAATGTTTGGGTTCAGTTGCAACAGTGAATAGATGTAAATAAAAAATAGAATGAAATGAGTACTATTAAACGGTTACTTTTATGAACATAAACGGTGCAACACAAGAGCAAGCGGGATGTGCATTACTTAACTGGCAACGCTGTGCAGTTATATATTTTACACCAATAGCCATGGCGTCTCGCGTCGTACATCGTAGTTCGTTCTGTTATAACTAGTCCAGTTCTCCAAATGTGTTTTGTTCATGCTGTGCCTCAGTGAATACACTTCTTACTGGATCCTGTCAGTGACCACATGGCGAGACGTTGTGACGAGTGATTACAGCCGGCTTGTGCGCACGCAAGGAAACACCCAGCCAAACTGGTACGAACGCTTGACTAGCAGCACTGCGATGAGGGTTTTATTTTTTTTTAATGTGCCCGTTTTGACAATCATAATGCAAATTGATTCTGGTGCGGTACGCAGATATTCCTGAAAAGTGAGAGTTCTAATGGTGAGGTGTCTCGAAGCAGCGTGTTTCGGTACTTTATGGCGCGTTCTGGTCAACTGATCAAGCACGAAATGTTCCTGAAACAGCCGGAGCGTTGATTACACGCTCCGGCTGTTCTGGATATGTACGCATACGCACAAGTATTTGTACCAACTGGCATGCTCTAGACGCGCATTATAAGCGCTCCTGGTGTTTCAATAAAAACCGACTAATAAACTCGCTTCGCAGATCTGCGTCGACTTTTGTCGACAGCGTTGCAGGAAAGCGTTCGCGTGATATGTTTCATAAATACACTTCACGGCATGCTTCATTTCGGATAGCACAAGGTAAATTGAAGAGATCGAAACCATTTTCTGTTTTTTTATGCCAACTCAGCATTATTGAAAAACTCGGATATTGCATTGAACGAGCACCACCAAACAATCTTGGCTGACTGAGTGCCAACTGAAATGCTCCTCCTTTGTATCCTGGCTACTCTGGTCACGGCGAGAATCTGGTTGGAGCCATATGCGCATGCGTACTCGTTTTGAACCTTTTGCATAATAATAACACCACCAGCCATTTGCAAGGTCACGTGCAAGGAATGGAGCAATTACGGACCCAGATGGCAGAGAAAAGGAGGGGTAAGCGAAAGTGAGGAGGACGGCATCGAGAGCAATGAGTGACGCTACCTTAGAAACTTGTTTCATCTAGGGACCTTAACTTGCCATGTGAGCCTGAAAAGAATAACCTTCGAAATGTGCACCCTCGTGACGTATTTTTTGGTGTTTTCGGTTTTAAACGCATTTGGGAGGCTACGCTTTTACTAGCTTTCTGCATCAAAGCAGCTAAAAGCAGCGGCTGCCAGCTACAAAGCCACAAGTAACATCAATAAAACATGTTATGTAGAAACTAAGCATCATGGCTTGGCGTTGTCTTTTGCATCTTGTGTACTTCTCACCCCATCCCTGATAAATCCTTGTTCGGGAGTTGAACAGAACGTTGACCTGCCCGTAGCGATAAAAATTATGTCTGCGGCTTAGAACAACATCAAGTAAAGCGCCGTCGTAAACTTTTTTTTTCGGGAGAGGTGACGACTTTAGATGCGTCATAACCACTTTCATGCGAAATAAATTGCGGTAACTTGCAGTTCATACCTTGTTCATTATACTGTGAGTGAATCATTATGTTAGTGCATGTAATGATTTTTGAGGCCCAAAATGCTTTTAATTAGGCCGTAAATGTGCATATTTTTTAATTCAAATTATTGATATATCGAATTATTTCGCGATTCTCTTCGAGTTTGATATATCCGAGATCGACTGTGAGACCTTTCCTTTTATATGAAAGCTCGTATGCTTTCATGCTTATTGTGCACTCTTGCTTTGAATTTGGCTTAACATTGTTTGCTTTGGCATTCACACAAAACAATGTCTAGGCCTGCACAGTTCGGTTACACTGAGTTATGTCATTAACAAATGAAGACATGCAACACTAATAGTACACCTATCAACACATATCTTTACTTGATCTTGGCATTATGGCATTCAGAGTGATGTCCGCAAATTGCTTATGATGAGTCAGACAACTCAGACTGCACAGCATGAAACGCACCTGGAGTGCACTCTGGTACCACAGACAATGGAGATGTGAGACCCACATCTGCCACCTGGTCCACTGAGAAGTACTTCAACTTGCTTTCAAGGCCACGGAGATTCTTCAGTATGGTGTCCTTCCCATTGGATATCCTTGATGAAAGACTACAGAATAAACAAAGTTTAATTCCACAACCTCTCTTAAAGTGACCAAGGGTTTTTGTGGCACAATCAAAACAACAAACTTGAAGCCAAGCCTACATGCCATCAATAATTCCGGCACAACCATGGTATGACACGTTCTCGAGGTGAAAGCCACATCGAATTACGCAGCATCTTCAATAGAACTGGTATTTGACATCCGTCAGCTTAGTTTGGCTGCACTAAAGGAATGAAATTTCCCTCACTAGCTCCTACTGAAAATTTTCAAGGGCGAGTTGTGAGGAACCCAAATTTCCATGTTAGATGCTATGAAAACATATGGTCATGCTACTGGCACAATAATTAGGCCACCTTGTGTGCCCTGAAAGACGAAGGTTTTTCCCAGTAATTTTTAATCACATCCCTGTTTAACTTCAGCTGAGTCCATCCATTATCTTGAACTTGGTTTACACTGTGTATGTTGAACTTGGCTGTTAACCAAGCTCAATATGATTCCCAACCAACTGGCCCAACTTGTCGACTTACACCACCCTAAATGCCTGAAAATTTGATAATCACAAATAGTGCAACTATATATATACATCATTAATACACTACTAGAATACAGAAATGCAACTTATACATAAATAATAACTATTGTTTAGTATTGGCACTTTCTTTTAATTGTTAGGTGATTTAAACAATAGTATGGACAATTATTTTGTGGACATGCATCATAAAGCACAATGACGCTGCTAGATACTAACAAGCAATGGATGGATCTGCTCATTTCATCCCTTTATATATTATGATGCAACAATTACAGTAGAGCTCTTCCAAAAGGCCGACCATGTCTTTTTTCTACCCACCAAAATGGCCATATTTGAGAGCACTCACGTATCTCGAAGCTTCGTAAGGTCAGCAACATTAGCCAGCTGAGCAAGGTCAGCTCCCCGCATTGTGAAGGCAGCCGGTACAAGGCTCGAACCATAGACGCCCAAGCTGAGGTACTGGTAGACGCTTTCATAGCCCACATCTTGTTCTGCATACATGCTGGCCAGCACCTCTGGGTCAACCCTGTCTAACGGACTCATGGGCGAATCCAGAGGCGATGCAGGAATGGCTGGAAGAATGCGCAGAGCACTCCCGTAAGCTTTTTTGTTGTTGCCCCGCTCAACCTCAGAGCACCCTGGGGTCGGTGACACTTCTGCGTCCTCAGGGGTCTCCCTGCCCGAGCTGCTGCCGCTGTTGACTTTTGTTGGTACCTTGTTTTGATCTCGGCTTCCGACACTGAGGCCAACGAGCGCGGGGCTCTTGGCTGCGGTCGGTAGCTGCCGTGGCCTCTCTGAGAGTGTTCGTGGTGGCTGAGATTCGTGTGCTCCCTGCCGAGGTGCGTCCAGGCTCAGACTCCTCTCTCTCTGAGTGCTAGACGGGCCAATGCTTCTCCGAGCCGGCGTTGGACTACATGCTTTGGTTGGCTTCACTTTCAAAGAGCTCTCTGCTGGAAAAGTCTTTTCTATTGTGCTCGGTGGTGCAGGGTCGCTCCCGCGCCTTACCGTCTTTCGCGCTGGTCTCGGGCTGTACACCACGTGCGTCTTGATGGGCTCTGACGAGTGACAGCGGACATGACGAGGAGACGAGATGCCCCATTCGTCTCTGGATTTCTGGGCTTCCCTGCTACGCCGCTTCGCTGGTGCACGCTCGACAGAGACGTGCGCGGGGTTAGATGACGATGAGTCTAAACTGTCTTCCTTCGTGAGATTGGCCTTCGGCTTGGCTGGCTTCTTAGTGATGTCGACGTCATAGTTGTCCAGGAGAATCTTTGCGACAGATGCAGCCAATGAGATCTGACCAGCCTCTTGCAGTTTGTCGTGGAGATCGAAGCACAGTTCACTCGGCACGGTCTTTTCAAAGGCGGGCTTGGGAATGAGGAGCTGGTTTTGACACAGAAACTGACCACACAGCGTTGCATGACTGTGTTGCAAGAAGCACAAGACGGCCTGCACTGGCGTCAGAAGGGAACAGGTACAAAATTCACCATTGTGTAACTGGATGTAAATGTTGTTGCGAACGCACCTCAAATCCTTCACATCTGAAAAGATGAAAGCAGGACCATAAGATTAGCTTCATTTCTCTTAATAAAACGACTGCGGCATTGAAATAGCACTTCTATTCAAGGATTTAAAAAAAAATTTTAATGAATGGCTGTGGTGACGTTTGAGTTAGATTAAATCTACTATGGCTCAACACAAAGTTATAATTATTTATTGTACTGAGACATATTCATGCATGGTTACTTTGTTCGCAATTAACCACACATCACAGAGATTTCTCATCATTTTGATTGGCCGTACAAGCATATAAATAGTTTATAAATGGGAGAAAAAGCACAGCGACTAATTAAAGTTTTGCACTAAGAGTAACTGAGAATCATCACAATAAGGCTAACAAACTACATTGTAATTTCGAATTTCTCATCGTATCTTAGGCTATTGAAAGAGATTAGAGGCATATCACCCCGATAAAGTCAATGCATATCCTTGCGAGTAGAGGTTTCAACTATATACTTATAGTGTGGACGTTTCATTGCACACATAAACTAACACAAAACAGCAGAACATAAATTTCATCTTGTTTTCTCACCTTTCAGCTCATCATTCCATAGGACTATTTCTCCTTCTTGTGGATTGATTACATAAAGGCCATTGGAACTCCACGATATTAGAAATGGCGAACTATAATTGCTGCAAAGAATAGTACAAAGACATATTTATATGTGCTCTGCCATCAACATAAGAAATATCAGGCAGATTATTCAACTGGTGTCAAACTTAAGTTATCATTTCAAAGGAAATTTAATTTTTAGCTTGCTTTCCTTTGCTATATTTCAAGATTAAAAGAAAAATTATATGGCACAGAAGATGACAAAACTTACAAATTCTGCTTGATCATTTTTCTCAGTATAGTAACATTAATTATTTGAGGTAATGATGCTGTACAACTTGAAAGTGGACTACAAATGACCCAAAGAAAGGACAAGAAGCATGCCTGCGAAATCGTACCTTGCCCATATAGACAGTAGTTTTGTAAATGCTGTTGTTGAGGCAGGAGGGGATGCAGCGCTTCCAAGAGTACTGGTATCGGACCTGGCAAATTGAGTAAACACAAGCGTAATTAGTTGAATGGTTTTTTGGAGACCCCCTCCTTACACAGATGAAACAACATGCAACAGGTTAAAAACAATACAACAGTACAAGGTATACCGGAAGACAGGATCATTTTGTGACAGCAAAACAACGAAAATCATACGCACACCTGAAGCAAAAATGTGGCCTTTGTATCAAAATTTATATTTTAAAGGGTAATGAACCACTTTTCCAAGTAATTATTGAATGACCTCAGCATTCGAGTTTATTGACTCATAAGTCGATTATCACTAAAATCCATTGAATCTGTCGAAAACGAGCGGAGTTACAGGGGTTCGTCACGTGCTTTCAGTGTTCTCTCTTCTGTGGGTCCAAGGTGCGCGCCAGATGCTGAGCAGGAAGGGATAGCATGAGGAAAAAACCCGGCACATCGACGAAGTGAATGATGATGAGTGGGCGAAGCTGTGGGATTGTTCAGGGTTACCGTAATTCACCAGTGACATTTGACCACTCAGGCATGTACTAAATGAGTGCCAAGCTGTGTACACTTATGTAAAATGTTTATTGGTCACAACTGGTTTGTTGTGTTGAGTCGTGAATGTTGTTCTGCCTTCATTATTACTGCTCTGCGGCATCGGATCTAGCCTGAAGTTGGAAAAGACGAAATCTAGGCACGTTTCCCTGGTGATTCTTGGTCGTTTCCAGTCATACGAAATGCATCATAGGAGCATACAGAGACGTCACCTACTGCACAAGCCTGTCGTTGTCTGCGATCACCATCGTCATCATCTGCATTGTCAACAGCGTCATCGTCATGGCGTACAGCGGGCACCTTGCATGTGTTGCGCCGTGATGGCAGAAAGAGAATGTGTGGTCTGGAACGCGTTTGTTTTTCATCATCATCAGCACCATTGTCATTGTCAAGGGTGGCTACGGCACACAATGCCAATGCCAACAGAGAAGCCATGACCATAAGGGGCTGTGCCTTTAAAAGAAGTTATGTCAGCATGACCGTTGGCGCATGATGAAGGGCTACTGCTGTTTGCCATTGTGATTCCCACGCATGGGAGCATGGCTCACTGAGTAACATAACCAGACTATGGAGTGCAGAGGTGGCGCGTGGTGGCAACCCATTGTAATCTAAACGCTGTTCGACGTCAGCCACCGGGCACAGTCAGCTATGAAGCGAGTGAGGATGGGCCTCTGTACGAAAGGTGGGCACCTGAGAAAATGGCAACTTTGAGCTCTAATGCTAAATTCTTCTTAGCGCACAAGACTGCAAGATTTGGCTTTGTTTTTCATAGCAGTGTCTGCTATCCACAGGAGGTGTTTTCTCACCAAGTGCAAAGGGTAGTCCATGACCAGACACAGAACTTTGTAACTCAATTCACTTTTCTCTGTAATGAGCACAGGAGCAGTCAGAGCACTTACTTACCTATACGTAACTAGCTTGACAGAATTGATGGCAAGAGCTTCCTTGAATTGGTGAGTTTTGAGCACGCTGCCCTTGAGATCAGCCTGCACAAGAAGACGCCAAAGAACAGCTACAACTTGTACAACGCAAGACTTTTTTTTTGGGGGGGGGGGGGGGTTAACTTCTCAAAACCACCATACGATTATGAAAGACGTCGCAGTGAAGAGCTCCGGAAATTTTGACCATCTGGGGTTCTTTAGCGAGCACCTAAATCTAAGAACACGAGCCTCAAGCATTTTCGCCTCTATCGAAAATGCGGCTGGGATTCGATCCCGCTACCTGCTAGTCAACAGCCAAGTGCCTTAGCCACTAGACCACTGTGGCAGGCAACGCAAGACTGTATGACACCTACTTGACAACAGCTTGCGTGCGCAGAGAATTAATTCAGTCCTTTCATTTCGAAATGAAAATGCTCAATGAATTCTAAACCATTAACTATCCATCAGCAGCAGCCGGTGATCAGAAAATCAAAGAAAACTGTGAGTCACCAGAAAAATTTGTAAGAATAGACAGACCACTCAACAGTCGACACATCATACATAACCTTCAGCCAGCTTAGGCAAAGGGTTGACTGAGCTATTAGAACCTTGCTGCTCACTTAAGAAAAGCATAGAAAGAATTTTAGAGGAACAAAAGTCTTAAAAAAATGGAACACTGTCCTCTGTGCTCTAATCACACTTGTCACAATGAAGCAAGATAAACCTACCAAAAAATACACAGGTCTGCCAGTACAGGTCACCTGATGTTAAGCACTAGAAAATGCACACAAGAAAACAGACAAACAAACATTCACTTTCTTAGCTATTTCTATTCCTGCGTGGCCTGCTCTTTCTTGCTTGCACATTGCCTGCCTATTTAGTGAAACATCGACAAGTCACGTCTAGATGCTTCAAAGAATTATAAAGCATTGTTACCTGCCATATCCTTGACCCTGGACGGGCTGCGTAAATGCACATAGAATCCAGCGGCTTGCTGCCGGGGTAGAAGCAGCCACCAAACTCTCCATCCCTCAGTTTCTTACCAACTTGGGTGAACTTTTCCCTGCGCCAAAGAAACAAGCAGTGTAAAGCCAATGACCACAGCTGGTAGAACAACATGACGCTGCAATGCAAAGCAAGAAAGTAGTGCAACCAAGTAGAAGAATCCATCAGGAGACATTACTCCAGGTCTCCAGAGCACCACTTTTTATCGAAACGGGAGTTTTTCTAACCACCTAAGCGACAAATGTAGGACAGGACTGGCATTGTGCCGGCTGACTAAATTGGTTTTATACAGTCCTTGAGTAGTACGTGACAATTAAGCCGTGTCACACAAATGGAAAAGATTGCTGTGATCTCACTTCCAGCGCCTACACTCTGCAAAAGCAAGCCCCTTGAGTACCTATAGTGGGGCTAGCTGGTGTAACAAAGCTCTGAAATAGGGGTGCTCGTCCTGCCCCCTTTGTTTTGTCTTCGTCCCGTTTGTGCCCCGCTGTAGAGCAAGGCCTTCGAGATCAGTTTCCGTTCTCCTTAATGAGCTGCCAGTGAGTTGTGACACGCAAATAACACCTACAATAAAGATAAAACAATCACTAAAGTTCAATCACATTGCTTTCTGATCCTAGCAAATAAGAAAAAATTAAGGCAACTTTGATACCAAGCCTAAAGGAAGAGCAGAGATGCGCAGCCTTCTTTTTTTCTGTTCAGTTTTCTTTTTCTTTCCTCTTCTTACATTTTTTTTTCTTTCTTTCCACTTTTTCCTGTATTTTTCTCTTTCATTATTTTTATTTATTTTTTCCTATTTGTTTATAAATTTTTCTCTTTCCATTCTTCTGATTTTCCCCTTTCTCTTTCTAGTTCGTACTTGCTTTCTCTTTTTTTTCCTATTCTTTTATACATAATTTTACCTGCATTACACCAAGTGCACTAATTATTTTTTTTGTGTGATGATGATAAGTGGTGATCATCAAGTAACTTGAAGAACTGAAGGAAGAAGAATTCTCCTTTGCATTAGCATGCTCACAATCATCATCAAGAAGTGCTCTAAAAATAAGACAAAGAAGATTTCTCTTTGGTGCTAGAGCACACTCACTTATCATCAATGTGTTTGAAGAACAAGAGGTAGAAGACTTCTACTTTGTGGTATCACATGCTCACTCAGCATCATCAAGGAGCTCCAAGAACAGGAGGAAGACAACTTCTACTTAGCAAGAGCACACGCTCAATATGCTACACATGGAACATCCCACAAAGCGATGACAGCATACGACAGAGTATGACAGCTTGGCCCTTAAAGTGCTCACAACTTAATAAATAAAAGCCGGCCAATTGGTCTAGGGTTTTTTTAAAAGAAAATTGATTACACTAACATGCTCTCTCAGCAAACTTAGAATGGTTCCATCATTCTACAGAGCTCCATGCCATCAAACTGCTTCACCCCCCGCTTGTCATGCATTGCTATGACGGCAGCAAATGTTTGTGCCCATCAACCTAGCTGTCCACTGCCTGCCTTCCTGTCTGACTTAAATATGTCACTGCCGCAGAATGCAATACCGTACACTACAGCTTCTACATAGGCCCGCCCTCTCTCCCTTTGACAGATGATATGCTACCGCAGGAAGTACTCCGGTAGCAAGCAGCTAGTCACCAATGCCGCACCGAACTGCCCACCTGATTGTATCACCAAGATAACATCTTGTCAGTGTTGAAGCAAGCAGCCGATCTTGCGCAAAGTTCAGTTGCACAACTTTTGAGTCTAGGCGCATCAGGGTGCTCGGTGGCGACTGGAACAGACTCTTGCCCTGCAATAGAAAGTGAATGCACTTTACCATCCACGACGCCTAAGCTACATGTTGTTTACGCGTGCGCATGCAAGCACAAAAAAAAAAAACACCTCAAGTTCTCTGCAGCAGTCAGTACTAGCTCACACTCGGAAGAAGGTGCGAGTTATCCTGCATGAATGCAAGCTATACCCCACAACGAGGCCATAATTCTCTAACAAGAAATTGATGCACCTCTTACTGCGGAAAGCATATGCTCACACAAAGCTGTCACATACTTTGCTAGAGATGCATCAAAGCAGCATGTGTGATGTTAAATGTACCTGCTTACCAGATTACAATATTAGTCATCTTTTCTCTACAGAGATTAGAAATTGCATAGCCAGTGCTTTTTCTGATATGGCACGTTGTTGACTGTGAAGTGGGGCCTGGGCAGCATGCGTCATCTCCTGTTTCTTTATATAAGATGTCCTACGAGCTATGGCAAACAAATAGACTGGCAGAAGCACACAACACAGAATAGGCCTTTTGACTACACTAATATCAAATTAAAGTACAAATGAACAGTGTCAGCAGGTCTATCCATTTGTTCAGAATGAATTGATCTTTAAGCGATGATGGGAGGGGCAGCCAAATGTAAATAAAATGTCAGCGGTGAATTGTACGCCATAAGTGTGTTAGCCCCATACAATCAGCATGTGCAAGTAAGAGGGCGATTGCACCATGAGGCTGAAGCTGGGCTGAACATGAACGTACTTTCGACGTAGACACGTTGAGGACGGAGACCTTTCCAGTATTGTCGGCGACAAAGAGTCGAGTTCCCGCACTGTTCCACTCCAGACATGTGACCACGCTTCCCTTGTGCTCGAAAGACAGCTGTAGCCTTTGTGCTTGCACGGTGGGTCTCCTAGCATTGTGCTCCAGGACGACAACATGCCCACGACTGTAAGTATGTGCAACGAGTGTCACGCATATCATCTAATGTTGATAAATGACGAGTAAGGTACTGTCATGTACGCTCGAATCTGATTATAACAAAGTTGCGTATAAATCGAAAATAAGTTGTCTATATCCGAAAATATGTTATAAAGGTTTATTCCTAACACTATACCTATTGCAAGACTATTTCCTATTTATTTTGTTATAACAGATGTTTCTTTATATCAGGGTTCGTTATATCGAGGTCTGAGTGTATACACAAAAGCAAACTGTTTTGTTGCCAAACGCTACATAAGGAGCCCTACTGAAACGTTCCATAGGCCATTCCAATAATTTTGTATTTTTCCATAGAATTCAAAATATATGGCGAACATAACGAAAATACATGAAAATGATGGATTCTGTAAGGAAACATGCGAAATTATTGGAATGGGACAAGCAGTGTTTCAGTATAGAGCTTCATTTTTTATCGCTGCTCTATAATCACTACACTTTTTGTAAAGTTCAGTGACTGATACAAAAATTAGAAAAAGTGCCAGCTGAAACACTGGTACAGAAAAAATAAAATAGAAAAATATTAGGTAGATAAATGTACAATAATAAATTCAGTCACTAAGTTCGCTTCCTGAACCTTTGGAACATTTAGAGAGTTGTCATATTTGAGATGCTTGCAAGAGAGCACGCATTTAATGAGAAAATCCAGAAAATATTGTTACGGGGAATAAAGTATACACTGATGAACAAATGTGTACTGGCGAATATACTGGCGAGCTAATGCGTACGACGCTGCTGCAGTCCGAGCACGTTCCCGTTCAGCACTTCGTCGTCGTCATCCTCAAACATCTACTTAGCCCGTGACATTACCCGCCGGCGGCAGAAGCACCGTCCCGGTGCGATCAATTCTCGGGGCGTGAGAAGTATGGCTTAAGCCGTGAGACGTGCACTATATCGGTCGGGACTGAAGCTGGTACTGACGTGGTATGGAGTGGAGCTATCTCATAGGTCACGCTGGTGACCTTGCGTATGACGCGGTAGGGGCCAACGTAACGGGACATCAGTTTTTCGCTGAGACCAACACGACGTGATGGTAACCACAGCAAGACGAGTGACCCCGGAGAGTACTGTACGTTGCGGTGCCGGCGATCGTAAGCACTCTTTTGGTTAAGCTGCGAGGCACATAAACGATCCCGGGCGACTTGGCGGGCGATGTCAACTCGGGCCAGGGCATCACGAGCATAAGCAGTCGATGAGGCGGCGTCAGATTGGAGCATGGTGTCCATGGGCAAAGGCGGGTCATAACCGAACAGTAGGTAAAAAGGGGAAAATCCAGCTGTATCATGACGTGAACTGTTGTATGCGAAGGTAACGAAAGGTAAGTGGATGTCCCAATCTTTGTGATCCTTGGAAACGTACATCGCTAACATATTCGTCAAGGTACGGTTGAGGCGTTCCGTGAGGCCATTGGTTTGCGGATGGTACGCTGTAGTGAACTTGTGGTGGGTAGAGCAGGATCGCAGGAGCTCGTCGACTACTTTAGATAGAAAACAGCTGCCGCGGTCGGTGATCAACTGACGAGGAGCACCATGACGCAGAATGATGTCATGAAGAAGGAAATCGGCTACATCAGTAGCGCAGCTGGTGGGGAGGGCGCGTGTAACGGCATACCGCGTTGCGTAGTCGGTAGCAATAACAATCCACTTATTACCGGTGGCCGACACGGGAAAGGGTCCTAGAAGATCGAGGCCGACTCGGAAAAATGGCTCATCTGGTACTTCAATGGGCTGGAGGGTACCAGCAGGTCTCAGAGCAGGTGTCTTGCGGCGCTGGCAGAGGTCGCATGCCGCAACGTACTGTCGCACAGAACGGTAGAGGCCAGGCCAAAAGAATCGGCGGCGAATGCGGTCATACGTGCGTGACACCCCTAGGTGTCCAGCGGAGGGGGCATCATGCAGCTGGGCCAAAACGTCTGAGCGAAGATGCACAGGAACAACGAGTAAAAGCTCAGCACCATCAGGGCGGGTGTTGTAGCGGTGCAAGATGTCGTTGTGAAGAACGAACAGTTGTAAGGAGTGGTCAGGGTGGGGAGAGTGCAGACCATTGATAATAGCACGCAAAGAGGGGTCGCGGCGTTGTTCAGCAGCTATGTCGGTGAAGTCGGTAATTGAAAGAACGAGGGCCTCTTGCTCATCTTCCCTCGTGTCAGGGGGATCGACTGGGTAACGGGACAAGCAGTCGGCATCCTTGTGAAGTTGTCCGGATTTATAGGATACGGAAAAAGTGTACTCTTGTAAGCGCAGCGCCCAGCGACCAAGGCGTCCCGTAGGGTCCTTGAGTGAGGAGAGCCAGCAAAGCGCATGGTGGTCCGTAATAACTGAGAATGGTCGGCCATACAGGTACGGTCGGAATTTCGCAATGGCCCAGACGAGAGCTAAGCACTCGCGTTCTGTGATGGAATAATTTTGTTCCGAGCGCGACAAGAGACGGCTTGCATACGCGACGACGCGGTGCATTCCTTGTTGCCGCTGCGCGAGCACTGCGCCTATGCCGTGGCCACTGGCGTCAGTACGAAGCTCCGTAGCAGCAGATGGGTCGAAGTGTGCTAGGACTGGTGGATTGGTGAGAATGTCGACGAGCGACGAGAAGGCGTTTGCTTGCTGTTGGCCCCAGGTGAATGCGACATCCGTTTTGAGGAGGCAGGTTAGAGGACGGGCTACTTCAGCGAACTTCTCGACAAAACGACGGAAATAGGAGCACAGTCCCAGAAAACTTCGGACGTCCTTGACTGAGCGGGGTGTGGGGAAGTCGCGAACTGCTCGGACTTTCGCAGGGTCTGGTTGAACGCCCGCAGCGTTAACAAGATGGCCGAGTACGCAAATTTGGCGTTGCCCAAAGCGGCATTTGGACGAGTTAAGTTGCAAGTTGGCACGTCGAAAAACATCAAGCACTGCGGACAGACGGGTAAGATGGTCGTCGAAAGTAGTCGAAAAAACAATAACGTCGTCAAGATAGCAGAGGCAGATGGTCCACTTCATGCCTCGAAGGAGAGAGTCCATCATGCGCTCAAATGTCGCGGGGGCATTGCATAATCCAAAAGGCATCATCTTGAACTGATAAAGACCATCAGGAGTCATGAAGGCCGTCTTCTCTCTGTCTTTGTCGTCCACAGCGATCTGCCAGTAGCCTGTGCGAAGGTCTATTGAAGAGAAATATTTGGCACCGTGCAAGCAATCGAGTGCATCATCTATGCGCGGTAGGGGATAGACATCTTTCTTGGTAATATGGTTGAGATGGCGGTAATCAACACAGAATCTCCAGCTATTGTCCTTCTTTTTAACAAGTACAACGGGTGAGGACCAGGGACTAGATGAGGGTTCGATTATGCCCTTATCAAGCATTTTATCGACTTCTCGCTGTATAATAGCACGCTCCGGGGCTGACACACGGTAGGGTCGGCGGCGAATGGGTCGAGCGTCACCGGTGTCGATGCGATGGGTTACTACAGATGTCTGGCCCAAATTACGGTCGCCGAAGTCAAAGATGTCCTGATAAGGAGCAAGCACACGGCAGAAAGCAGAGACTTGTTCAGAGGTGAGCTTGTCAGATAGCATTGGCTTGAAAAGGTCGGAACAGGAACGTGACGAGAACGACGTTGATGAAAAATCGGGTGGCGAATTGGTGGTTAGAGCGGAAACTGTGTGGTCGACCAGTGGTGTAAGATGCGCAAGTGACATGCCGCGAGGAATAACTTGTGCTGAGAGGCCGAAATTGAGGACGGGAAACGAAGTTCGGTTGTCCTTAACGGTAACCACCGTGTTGGGGAGTGCAACATTGCGTGTCATGGCGACGTCAGAAATCGGGGCAGCAACATAATCACCATCGGGTACTGCAGGATATGGCGAGAGTTGGACTTGGACTGCGGCTTGCGGCGGAAGTCTAAGGAAATCGACAGAGCGTAGACGAGGTGGGCTGGTAGAGACGGTCTCCGAAAAGGATGGTAGTTCGAGCTGAAGAAGACCTTTGGAACAGTCAATGAGCGCAGCGTGTGAAGTCAGAAAGTCGAGTCCAAGGATTAGGTCATGAGGGCAATTTTCCAGTACAGCGAACAGAACTGAAGTTTGATGCTTAGAAATTGTTAATCGCGCAGTGCACATTCCAAGCACAGCAGGAGTACTCCCATCCGCGGTACGAACGGTAGGTGCAATCGCAGGCGTCAGAACTTTTTTGAGGCGGCGGCGGAGGTCTGAGCTCATCACAGATATTTGTGCACCGGTATCAATAAGAGCCGTTATAGGTAAATCATCAACGAGAATTGTTAGGAGGTTGCACCGCTGGTCGGGAGTAATCAGAGGATTTGCAGTCCAAGTCGTGTATGCAGCGTCACCTCCGGGGGCTGCACCGGCTAGTTTTCCGAGCGACGGTCGTAAGGAGACCGAGAACGGCGGGGTTGGGGCGAGCGGGACTGACGACGCACGGGCGATGGCGAGCGGCTGGTCCGACGTTCTGGATTATACTCTGCACCTGTCTCAGCACGGTAGGACGGGGCATAAGGTGCACGTTCAGAGCGAGGCCGCCAATCATAGAAGCTCGGTCGAGGTGATGAGGTCCACCGGCTGCGGCAATGGCGAGCGATGTGTCCTATCCGATGGCACGTAAAACATATGGGCCGATCATCATGAGTGCGCCATTCAGCTGGGTTTCGTCGTGGCGCGAACGTGCGGTTCGGTGTGGCAGCCGCAACGACTGGAGCCGAGCTGGAAGTAGCAGAGGCATTCTGATGAGGTGGCGAAATGCCCATATTCGCGATCTCTTGGCGAACCACGGCCTGTATCATTGAAACAGCACCGAGGTTGTGTCCTGGCCCGCTGACGCTAGACATAGCGGGAGCCATGGCCTCGAGTTCCCGACGGACTATTCTGGTGACGTTTTCTGGCGCTGGTGGTTGGTGTAGTGTGGGCAAATCTTCGCAAGAGGACGTAGCCGCCGTGTTGGGAAGGCGGTCAAATCGGTGAACTATGCGCCTACTTTTTGCCTGTTCGAAGCGACGACATGCTTCGATGACCGACTCCACCGTTGAGCAGTCCTTGCACAGGAGAAAATTGAAGGCGTCATCCGCAATTCCTTTCAGGATGTGTCCGACTTTGTCCTCGTCGAGCATGTCCTTGTCGACCTTGCGGCACAAAGCCAACACGTCCTGGATGTACGCGATGTACGGCTCCGTGGATGTCTGGGCACGAGTCGCAAGCTCTTTCTTTGCGGCCACCTGACGTCCGATGGGTTTCCCAAATAGATAGCGCAATTTCTGCTTACAGACGTCCCAGCTAGTCAACTCTTCTTGATGTGTCTCGTACCAGAGTTTTGCCGTGCCATGCAAGTAGAAGATGATGTTCGCCAGCATAAGCGTTGGACCCCAATGGTTGCTGCTGCTGACGCGCTCATATTGAACAAGCCAGTCATTGACGTCTATGCCACTTGTGCCGTTGAATGGACCTGGGTCACGAGGTTGCACCACAACGATCGGCTGCGGGGCTGACGGATCTTGTTGACATTGAGTAGCCTGGTCAGTCATCGTGGTAGCTGCAATGCGCCGTCCGCTGCGAAGATCCAGCTCGTTGGGCTGTATAGCGAGTGGTACCCCGCACCTTCCACCAATGATGTTACGGGGAATAAAGTATACACTGATGAACAAATGTGTACTGGCGAATATACTGGCGAGCTAATGCGTACGACGCTGCTGCAGTCCGAGCACGTTCCCGTTCAGCACTTCGTCGTCGTCATCCTCAGGCATCTACTTAGCCCGTGACAATATAACGTTCACAAAAACAAACACACTGTGCTCAGTACAGTGACACGATTACTATGCCCACACAAACAAACAAAAATATCGCCTAGTAAAGGAAAAAAAATTATTATCGCACTTGTATATCTGTTACCTTGAATGTCTTATGAGAATCGATTTCTAAAGAAGAAACTGTGCTTTACATGAGCGTGACCAGTTAAAGAAACGTGTAGTGTGTACTGTAGTACAAGACAAACTCAGCAGATGAATATGGCTTCACAAACCTAGTGGCGATGCCAAGGACGAAGTCATCCGGTGCCAGGGCAACCTGTGACACTGCACCCTCCTTAAAAAAAAAAAAAAATTCATATCTCCAATTGCAAGCCTTTTTACATATCTCATCCATAACAATCACTTGCAAGCTCTTATCAGAACACTTAAAGCGGTGGCGCCGAGAAAAACCTTATAAATGAAACCTTACATCTTGCCTTGTTATTGAAACCGCATTTCATGTATATTTTATTTTGAGAAATTATACAAATTTGTCTCATCAAAACAAAGTGGTAGCATGAAAAAGCAGCTCTAAGCTCAAGAAGCAGAATAAAGTATAAAACATCTTTTAAGTAAAACCTACTTTTATAAGTATTACACTAAAATACAGTGCTTTCCATTGGCTTCAATAATATACGTAACAAATTATTTATTTAGAAAACGTCTGTTCTCTGCCATGATCTTGTAGTTAGTAGCAACGTAATACAGCACAAAAGCAAGAAGAAATTAACACAAGATTTTTGTGACAATTCTTTTTAAGGAAACAAATGCCTGGTTTTTGTTTGGTCAATCAGGTTTAGGTCAATATACTGATAAAAAAGAAACGTGAACCAAAAATGAATAATCAGAAAGTTGTTTGATTGATCACTCGTCTCTAATTGTGAAGCATTCAACTTTATGTACACTACATTGGTATAATTGTGGCAGTGATGACTTACAAAAAATGCAAATAGAAGAAAGACACAAGAAACATCTAGGTAAGCACATGTGTGAGATGAGAATGGATCTGAATTTTAAGTATGCTTACAGCTTGCAAGCTGATGAGTGCGATGAAAAAAAAAGCACACATCTCTTTGCCTCTCTTAAACAATGGACAAAAGAAAGAGTATACATGAAGCACTGGGAGGTCTGCAGCTGCTTTCAGTAATGATGAGTCATACAGACAAACGTGAGTGTCTGAATACATTAAAGACACCTGTAACTAGAAAAATTTAGTTTCCAAGAATATGCGTAAATATATAGGGGGAGAACAATAAAAAAATGTGTACCATAAAAACAAGAGTTACACTTGTTCGGTTCCAGCATAACATACTTTGAAATAAAGATTTTATCAAGCAATAAATGGACCGAGAGGCTGTTTCATTATGAAACACAAAGTATGACCACTATAATATAAGAAATGCTAAGCTATGTTATCATCATAACACCTGTCTGATTTTTTTTTTTTTTTGCTCAGGAACAACCTTCAAATATTGGGATTGATATGAAATAAAGATTTCCTGAAAACTTTAAAGGTCGCACTAAATGAAAAATCTCTAAAATGAATTGCAAATGTAAAGCACTGACTTGAAGAGAAAAAATGAAAGATATGTAACATTTCTTGTTGAAACCATCAAAACAACACTGATTAAGTGTACAGGAATGGTTTGAAAAGTCCGAACCTTGTTTGTGATTGTAGTGATGTATGCAGTGGTGTCTCGGTGGAACATGAACACATCTCCAGTCGTAGCCCCAAAGGCAAGGTACCGTTTGGAAGCATCAAAGCAGGCATACTGAGCACAGAACAAAGGGTCAGTGAGAGAATTTAGAAATGTGTCAATTTATTCCTGAAAACTAGCACCGCAAAAATGAAACTTTTACGAACAATAATCTTGTGATTTGTTACATAAAACACTGAAAGCAAGAAGTGTACAACACCAGCAGGCCAGTTAGTACAAAAGAATTGCGTGTGCTTAACCTACACAATATAAGTAAGTTACCATGTAACCTAGTTACCACTCCAGAAACAGACTCATATAGTAGACTGTGGTGATCACAGTGCCATGCTATGCACACCCTCCATCTTGAAAAACAATTTTTGCGCTTTTTTCCTACACCTGTGCAATCCTCCTTGTATGCGCAGCGAAGAAATTTTGCCCACGGGAAACATTACACACTGCCGAGTTTGTCGACTGGTGCTTTGCACTATGAAACTGCTCTTTAGTCTGGATGGTGACACAGTTTTCGATGCGCAATCCACATTTTCATTTTCATCGTACTGCAACTCACAATCGATAGTGCTAGGTAAGTTCTTTCAGTGGAAGATAGCTAACAGAAAAAGGGAGTGTTTGGGAGCGCTAACACGACTCCGTGGTTGGCAGACTAGAATGACTTAGTCTCAATGAGAGCTTACGTGGGTCTTGCAGGTAATGAGAACATGGATAAGAACTGGATATGTTGCACCTGGCAGAAAAATAACGATGTTATGCAGGAAGACATACCTTGACCCTCGTGAGGTTTCTGATAGGAGCAAGGATGCCATCAAGCGACTGGTACTCTGCCAGTACATAGGGTGCCTGTGAGGTCAGCTCGGCTCCACCTTCGGCCATGCGCTTTGGCTAGGTAAGCTGCGGCACAGCCTGACCACTTGGCACTAGGATACAGTGGTCCATACATGGTTGCTCCTTGTCACTGGCACAGTGCAAGCCATACTGTCAAAGGTGCGTCTCTGCAAAACAAGCCCAGATGCAAGGATTGGCACCCTGCAGAGTCATACCTACTTCTGTAGTGGGTCCGCCATCGACAACGGTTCCCAAGTTGGCCGAATGCTGCAGTTTAGCTGCTCAAAACAATACGTATCTGAGAAAGAGTTCTATATTTGGACTACGAAAGCTGCAGACAGAACAATGCATGCCGTAGAGATTACAGCCACGGCTTATTTTCGTTGCACAATTACGCTGTCTCTGCGATCACAACGAACACACCAGCGTGTGACATTTATACGCATATGCTCTGTCTGGTAGCGATCAACACATCGGAACGACTTGATGTATGATTTACGTTCATTTGATCAGCACTATGATGTTATGCATGCCCAAACGAAACACAATAAGTTTAAGGTATCGCCTGATCATTTAGAGATATCAGCTTAGTGAAATGTGTCACTCTAGCAAGACATTTCGAATTAGACAATTGAACGTTTGATTTTGATTGATTTGTGGTGTTTAACGTCACAAAACCACCATATGATCATGAGAGACGCCGTAGTGGAGGGCTCCGGAAATTTTGACCACCTGGGGTTCTTTAACGTGCACCCAAATCTGAGCACACGGGCCTCGACATTTCCGCCTCCATCGGAAATGCAGCCGCCGCAGCCGGAATTTGAACCCGCGACCTGCGGGTCGGCAGCCGAGTACCTAAGCCACTAGACCACCGCGGCGGGGCACAATTAAACGTTTCCGACAGCGTTACTCGTCGTTATTCGTCGAGAAACGACGGATTAACAGCTGCCGCATGGAACTTGATGCATGAGACGACCTTGCCCTGTGTATTATGTTACTGCCAGGTCAAAAGGGAAAGCGGACACCTTTAGTTTAGTTCGAGTAGAGTGAAGCGTCGTACTATCTGGTTCGGAAACTGTTACCGCAAGCCGTAACGACTTTCTGCTGATAACGGTAAATCGCATCGTAGTTGCGCAAAGCTTACTTCACCCCGCGCGCGCGGAGTCTTCTCAGATAATTCACGGTGAGGATCTCGAGCACAGCATCCAAGCCATTACGTATGCACGCTAAAAACCAGCAAGTAAACGCATCGGAAAGCGAAAACAAGCATAACGCACGGACATTTAAGCCTATTAATCACGCTTGGAATTGCGATGGACCGAGAACGACCGGTAGCCTTACCGTTCAAAACGATGATGCAGAGTTGTGAGTTGGTCCATAGACAGCGGTGGTACATTATTTCATAGTAATCCACTCTAAATCCTTGGGTTTATTCTCGAGATCAGCCCGCTTAGGTTCACATCCATGACAGCCATCCATAACGATGAGCATAAGTGGCTCCATCGAGTGTGATCGAGTGCATATAAGAAACTAAATGTTTCGGTTTCGCTTTCGAATAGATACTAGCTGTGACTGGTCTTCTTTGTGCGCTTCAGAATCGATTCAATGTTTAATTAAATAACTAAACGTTTTGTGATGATGGTGCTGTTATTGCAGCAGATATGCACCCGTGCCGATGTAACGCGGCAAAATTTGAGAGGATGTGAAGGCTTACTGTTGTGCAAGATATGCATTCCGTTGGCCCGCCACATACTTCAGAGAGTTCGGTGAGTTAATTGATGGACCGCCTGTGAAACTCGGCATTGTGTGTGTGATGTGACATGTGTCTATCCTTCTCTCTCTTTTTTACTCCCCTCCCCCTCCCCATGTGTAGGGTAGCAAACTGGACGCATAATCTAGTTAACCTCCCTACCTTTCCTACATTCCTTCTCTCTCTCGGTGAGTTAATATACCAGTGTACTGTGCCATCGTTAGTAGTCTCGCAAAATGTGGCTGTCTATTAAATGTACGTTACCTTGCCCTAGTGGTCGGTTCTTTGTGTCACTTCAACTAAATGATTATCCTCTCTACAGCAAGTCTCCGTTGCTCAAACCTCAAGGATGATATGCAAGTAAGGGTGGCACGCCATTCAGGAGGTTATTTTATTTTGTTGATTTATTTAAAGATACCTAACAGGCCACTGTTGAGGCATAGTGTAAGGGGGGCAGTACAAAAGGTGCACTTCAGTGACGCTCGCAAAATACAAAATTTTGTTTGCTAAAGTAGCAATTTGAGCTTTGAAATTGCAATGAGGCAAGGGAGAAACTGCCTTCAGAAAGCAGTACGGATGAAAAACTATTGCAAAAGGCAGAGTTAGCGACAATTCAAACTTTTCAGCTTATTCAATGCTGATGCACGAGTTTTTGAGATATGCGAGAAATGAGCATGAGTCAAAGGGGAATAACAATAAAAATGTTATGCCAATGTGCAGAAGGAAAGGAGCACCTTTTACAACTGTTCAGTGGAATCAAAAGCAGCACACAGTATAAGTGAATAGATATTTGCAGAATTCACTTGATACCTACATAACCAAGTGCTGCTCTTCATACTACATAAAGCCTTGATAGCATAATATATGTTTCCTTCCGCAGATCTGCTCCCTTTCAAGTATTCCTAGCGACCATCGATTGATTGATTGATTGATTTGTAGGGTTTAACGTCCCATAACCACCATATGATTATGAGAGACGCCGTAGTGGAGGGCTTCGAAAATTTCGACCACCCGGGGTTCTTTAACGAGCGCCCAAATCTGAGCACACAGGCCTACAACATTTCCGCCTCCATCGGAAATGCAGCCGCCGCAGCCGGGATTTGATCCCACGCCCTGCGGGTCAGCAGCCGAGTACCTTAGCCACTAGACCACCGCGGCGGGGCTCCTAGCGACCATCTGCAGTCATGTTTTTATGTACTACATCGCAATAAAACAAGCATTAGAGCTTTTGTGAAGCCTTGTCATTAGTGCAAAGTGAGTGCATAAGGAATCGGCACTGTTTACCCAAGGTTAAATGACTAGCTGCAATTTAAGAAATTTTTGTCCAAGCAAAGACTAAATGCGCTCAAAGCTGAGGCTACATGGAGGCTGTCGCATATGCATATAAACGTCATGTAAAGCTGAAGCGGATGTCGGGTACTCAAACCTTGGCTCTGCATAGACCATGCATGTTGGTGTCGGACTGGAAGAAGTTGTCTCGTTGCTAGTTACCAGTCTGCTAAGCCGTAGAAGGCAATATAGTTTGCCCCTTCACATAAATACAATTGTAACTAAATCGTTCTTTTTGACAAAGAATAGCTGTACACTGGCTTCTATCTTAATTTTTTATTAACATGTAGTTATCTCCATGTGTGACAAAGACTGAGCAGACTTCCTTGCCTCTCCTTTCATACCTCTTAATTTGACAAAATGTTTCATATGGTATCTAGAAACTTGAACTGCTGTAAACTGGCATCAGTCCAAATGCATAAAAAAGAATGATAGCTTTTGCTGCACTCAAAGGACATCTTCATGAGATCTAGGCCAAACAGACCAGCATCATGCCTATAGCTGACATGATACTTTGTCTAAGGTTCTTGAAGTCCCACAGACATGCTTTACACTTGCTCAGGTACAGAAGCCCATCGAAGGCAGAAAAAGCGAATTTCAGACAGGATTAGAAGACATGAATTAACAGTTTTTCTTTAATATAGGCAAAACTCAAGATAAGTTTGCACTTGATGCCTTTTTTGTACGACGCGTCTTCTTCTTCTTGAAGTCTGGAGGGATGGTTGAGATAGGCTCACGTTCAGCAACGGTTTGATGCCGCACTCGTTGTCTGAAACGAATGCAACCCGTTAGGCTCCTTCAATCAAAAAGCTAAGGCATTCCTTAAGAACACAGTGTCAGTTACATTGCAATGAAAAGAAAATGTGAATATATCTGAGAAGTACGGGTGCTCCAGTAACTGAAAATTTTTAATTGAACGCAGCAAATATAAGGAAAAAATTACCTTGAATATAAGATTAAACAAAAAATCATATTTTCTTATTTTTTTCACTAGCAACATCAAATGCGTACTATTTTGTAGAAATTGAGAATGTTTTTATGTACAGTACTTTCGGATTCAAATGCAACACCAGATTATTTATTATAATTATTTATTGTAATATAAAATGATTTAGTAAGCACAATTGCTTAAAATAACATCATGTCACAACGAATATGGTCTCTAAAGTTTATTTCGGCTCTCATCTATGCATTCGAGTCGAAACTATGCCGATACGACCCAAATTGGAGACGATGAAAACAAGAGTATGTGCACCACTTAGCTCTAAATTGTCCCGTTTCAACTTGTGATACTGTACAATGACATATGCATGCACTACTGTTTGGAATTGGAAGCTTAAATAACAATAAAGCTGATACATAACAAACAAATGCCTTAAATTCTTCACAAGACTGTGTCAATGATGATAATGAAAAAAAAAAGAAACGAAAGATAACTTTACCAGATGCTTCTACAGTAGTGTGCTTGCTACAGGAGACAAGCGTGATACTCTATCATCACATCTCTGACTGGCCATCTTAGGTGAGACTGGCCAAGTGATAAAGACTATCACAGACACTTAGCAATAATCGTGCGTTGGGATCAAATTTCGAAAATTCAGCATTCACTTAGAGTCACATGCTTCTTCAAAGAATAAAAGCAGTATATTATATATCGGAACTCACTTTGGATTGCTTCCTAGCAGGTAATCTGGCAAAGGCTGTCCAGCTTCACGAAGAAGATGCACAATGCTCTTCAGGCGACCCTCCGTTACGTCGTCTTCTGTGAAGAAGGTGATGGCCTTGCCTGGGTGACCAGCACGGCCCGTGCGACCTGTACAAGGACATGGAGATTGACAGTTCCTCAGGTGGTGATGACTCATGAACCAGGCAATACTGTTTTGGTAGGTTCTATTTTAGAAGCATGAGCTTCTGCAAACTCTAAATACTGAAAAAGCACTCGCCACTTGCTTAGATGTAAGGTGTGATACAATGCGCCTGGTCCTGCCACAGTCTATTTTGTTTTTAAATAGACAGTAATGAGATTGTTAAAAGGCAGGAGGCTCACTCAGCTTAAAGGACAATTACCGCCTTATTTCTGTTTCTCCCATTTACTCTATTACATTAGAAAAATTACGTATGTTTAATCTATTGCACTAAGCTTTGATGGTGTGTCTGAGAGCATCTAAGCCTGGCTGCAAGTACAACACTGATACCTTGACATAACGAACCCGGATATAACGAAATATCGGTTATAAGGAAGTAAACGAAAAATGAATATAGTGTTAAGAATAAACCTTGATAACTAATTTTCGGGTATAAGAAACTTATTTTCGTCTAAGATGTAACATTGTTATAATGAGGTTTGAGTATATATATCTAAACGTCGCAACTTTTCTATCTGCGCTACGTCTTCTTAAGGGCCACTTAACGGTGTCCGAAACTCAAGGGATACGCACCGATGCGGTGAACGTATGACACAACAGATGGTGGTACGTCATAGTTGATGACAAGACCCACTCCTTGAAAGTCCAGACCGCGCGCCAAGACCTCGGTGCAGATGAGTACCCAGACCTGTCCCGACCGGAAAGCTCGCACAACACGATCGCGCTGCGCTTGAGTTCGTTCGGCGTGAATCACATCCACGTTTATGCCATCATACACGAGCTCGGCAAAGAGTTCCTTGGCCCGCTGCTTGCTCTGTACAAACACAAGCACTGGTGGCTGGAGCTTGCCCTGCGCACAGGTGTAATGTGAAGAAAGTTGCCACGTTTCTTAAATGCACAAATGCACATTTCATTGCAATAGCATGTTCAAGGGGCCCTAAAGAGGAAAAATGAGTTGCTTTAGACTGATAAGCTGCACTTTGAGAACTCTAATGTGATAAGTTTCACTGTCACAAGCTCATTATTCGCAGAGAAAATCAATGTTGAAGTTTCATTTATAAATATCGCGCCGCAATTTTCGCACTTGACGCAAGAGATTCCACAGTGTACTATTTTTCATATTTTCATGACATTGGCTTGATGAAATTTTCTAAAACTTACTATGCTAAGTCTATGGCACCCACGGATTACAATGTACGTATTTCAAGAAGCTACATAGGACCAGGTAGACACCTTCAAAGTTTATGAAGTCACAGTGTTTCGTGCGTGAATCTCACGGTGGCGTCTCCACCCGCAGTTTCTTTTCGCACGTTTTCTCACTTACCAAGTGTGGTGTCGTAATAAGGGTGGTGTTTTCGGTATTGTGAAATTGTACTTTACTAATACGCGAAAAAGCATTTTCCTCTTTAGTGTTCCTTTCATGAACACTTCAGGGAAGTGAACACAAAGTACAAAAGCAAGCATTTGCATATTGCTTATAATGCAATTAAAAACTATCAGATTGTCCTCTAAGCCTTTCCAGAAAGTAAACAGAAACTGTGCCATGAATTCTGGTCAATGCACACAATGTGACATGGCAAATCTTACATAATTAGGGTGGGAAAACGCTGCCAGTCTTTTTAAAGTTTATTTAAAATGAACTCGCTGTACTATTATAAAGGAAGCACTGTAGTTAGGTTCCAGTGCCGTTACTGAATGAAGCTTTCAGTTTTGGTACAAAAGATCCATGGAAAAGAACAAATACTGCATATTTTAATGCATAAAATGAAACTGACCTCCTTGACGAGTCCACGTATGGCGAGAAGTTTTCCTGACTCGCTGCCCACAAACTGAAGCTTTTGGTCCACAAGGTCTGCAGCTGCATTCCTGTGATAAGGCAATGTTTCATGAAAACGCAGTTCCGAAACATTTTTTTTTTAGATAAGAAGATTATTCAAGCTTGCTCACAGTCTTTCAAATGCTTGACTCAACTCTAACATGCTGTGAAGACTAGGTAGAGAGAATGTACAGGAAACATAAAGAGGATATTATTGAAAGTAATCAACAATTTACATCGAGCTGCTAAAGATAATTTTTAATGAGAGGAATTAGTTTTATGTTTTGATATAGCCACAATAATACAAGATTCAAGTTTTTACCAGGTTTTACGTAAGAAGTTGGCAATCTTATGGAAACATCTCTTAATGAGAGGTTTCCATAACATTGTTAACTCCTAATCCATAACCTTGTAAAAACTTCAATCTTGTACTATTGTGCCTGAGGAAAAGAGAAAAAGAGAGAGATTGAATTCTGGGTGCATTGATTCTCAGGAAACTATGTACAAGTGCTCCCTCTGCCTCTCTGCACTTAGAACCTCCGGTTATTGTTACAATAATGAAAGTGAATGCTCAAAGGCAAACTTGTTCTTGAAAAATGAAAGTAAAAAGGTATTTTGATAAAAGCCTTCCATCACAGATTGAGTACACGGATACACCTAATGGACTTGTTCGGTATGGTGCAGAATTCTGTGAAAAAGGAACTTTTATTATGCTACAAAGATCCGGCTTGTCATGACATGTCAGCTGGCCAGAATGGCAACCCACCGTATTCCTACGGTGAGCGAGAGAAAAGCATCGAGGTGAAGCCTGCACCAGGCCTCCACTTGGTCAGTAGCCGTGGCACTGAACAGGGCTCGACGCATCAGTGGGCTTGCGCTGCATGCTTGGCAGACCTTGGCAAGCTGCTCACGGAAGCCTCGGGGGCCCCCCGCATTTTCGAACAGCTTGTCAGACTCGTCCAAAATCAGCCACTCAACCCTGCAGCAGGACACGGGGTAGACAAGTTACAAATCATGAGAAAACTCTGCAGAGCCAGTTTTTTTACAGATTAGCGAATAACAATTTGTGGTGCTTTCACTCTCACTAGTACTTCTTATAGCATGCTTGACTAGTTATTGTCGAGTGCTCTAGAGTGCTGTTGCAAGGCGGTCTACGTTCAGCAGTGCACTGTTGAACATAACTGAGATACGAGAGAATCCCGATCACATGGCACTTCTCGAGAAGCAGCTGAATAGCTTTTCTCTGACACTAATCTCAAGGGAGGTCTGAGTTGTTGCAAATCAAGTTGGAGCATGGTAGAAAGCAATAAACATAAGAAAGACCAGTAGTGATACAGGATGGTTCAAACCAACAAGGGCAAAAGTAGAATTTCTTTCCACCAGTGGCTTTAGTGACTGCCTTATCACAACATTTTTAGTGATGCCACTTCAGCGATCCATAATGCAAGTGCCAACTGCTTATTATGCATTAAAAATGTGCTTCTCCCTTTGTACTGATGGCAAAACAAAAAGGCACAAATCACTGCAATTTCTTTACCATGACATTTCTGTACACCATACAGTAGTCTCGTGATAATTAAAACTCTATTAATTCATACTTTCGGTTAATCCAAACAAAATTCAATTTTTTGGTTGACCCTCTGTTTTTTCAATATATTTAAAAGCCTCTTGATTAAAACTCCACCATTCGGTTAACTCATACTTTTTGCGGTTCCTTACCAAAAAATATCTGCTGCTTTCTCACTACTATTTGAAAATTTGCATGCTTATATAATCCTAACAGTCTAAAAATGAAAAATAAGCGCCTTAAGCCCTCAAGGAAAAAAGGCTTTCCAAGTAAACAAACGTTAGAAACGAAGCACACGCATGGTAAACCGTCATGGTTTTCAACTGGTATCGAGAGCTTTGTGCTGAAGGCGCATATAGCAGAAAAGCAGTTGGCAATTCGCGATTTCTTTAAAAGGTCTGATCAGCAGTAAATGGCCCATAAACTTGTGAGCCTTACACCTCTGCTTTCTGTTCATTGCGTGCAGCTAGGGTTTAAAAAGGCTTAAAATGTTCTTAAAAAATCAATGACTATTCGTAATGTGTGGTGTCACCTCACCCGCAATCATATATCTGAGAACTTCTGATAATTTGAACTTCTTGGTAATTCAAACAAGTTTCAGATGTCCCTTCGAGTTTTAATTAACAAGAGTCGACTGTATGTACAAATTTGTAAACTTGTCTTCTTAAAATAAAATACCACATGCTCTATGTAAGAAAAGCCTGTGAAGTAATACGTGACATGAAGCCTACCTATTAAGAGTGAGCACTCCGCTGTCTGTCAGGCAAAGTAGCCGATTTGGTGTAGCTACCAAGATATCTGTAAGAAAAGGGACAGTTGAGCTAATGGTAAAAAAAAAATAGTTAAAGACATCACTTCACTTGAACTCAACTTACAGCATAGTTTTCTAGCTTAAAATGACTTAAAACAACATCCTCTATGAAATCTGATTCATATTCATGACACTGAACAAAACTAACTTTCTGAAAAACGATGAAATATTACAGTACCAATCTAACCTGCAGTTAAAAAACCGCAAAGGCGTGACTGCTCTAAGGAGGTGCTGGCAACTTGGTGGTCTATTCATAACAGATGATCTGGCATGCCAATGCCAGATCATGCATTCGTTTCTGTAAGGTTAGTCGTTTTGCTCATTGTTGACCAGTACACAAATAATTATTGGTATCTCAAGCACTTGTTTTCATATGAATGATCCAAGGCATTATCAGAACTCTGGGAGGATGTTATTACAAGTTTGATCATGGATCCACAAGTTTAGCAAAGATAAAGTAAAAAAATACTGGAACTGCTCAATAAAAATTATGTTAGCATAAGGATTGTTTTAAAAGCTAAGAGATAAAGAAAATCTAAGATACCACGAGAACACGTAATCAACCAAGACAAAGACAGTCCCTGTAATAGTGAACTGGTAGAGATCCCGTTGTATAGTATAACAAGAAACAAGTTCATGCTTATGCAAGACTCAGGCTAGAAAAAAAAGTGGATTTGATGAAATTAAACAAGATTTGAAAACTGACCCAACTTCCGCTGCGCTTTGGGGAGGCGTGATCTGGCAGATGAGAGGCTGCTTAGGAGATAGACGTGAAGTCCTGTGTCACGAATAAGCTGCAGGCATTCACGATAGGTCTGCCGTGCCAGCTCACGTGTTGGTGCCAGGATCACCGCCCGAAAGCCACCCTTCTGCTGCTCACTGCCATCGTTTTTGCCCTTGGCAACTGGTGGAGGTTTCTATGATATGTGGGTAACCAGAGCAATTAATGAGAGTCAATCAAAATATTTGTTTATTGACGAAATGACAAAAAAGAAAAATGAAGCTGAATAATATGACAAGAGCTTTGTCAATGCAGAAAACTAGGAAAGAAAAGTCAACCGGAGCCATAATACAGTCATTTTTTAAAACTTTGTCATAGCACAGCAAAGGACATGGACACCTGAAAAAACCGTACATCGACAGCATACAGATCTACCTTGCAACAAACATTTATTTCTGTTTTCCAGCAGCATTTGTAGCAGTATAGACAGATACTGCAACTCTTGCTCTAATAACATGACCATATTCAGTGACGCATGTGCCACCAACCCATCGATTTGGTCATCCAAGAAAGAGTTGCAGTATCTGTCCACAATGTAGGTAGACTAGACCATTTCAAAAGGTCCCTCGTGGTTTACGGGTTGGTTGTGTGATACAGTGAAATCCACATGTGTCATGTGATGGCGAGAGTTACAAATACTTCTGGAAAACGAAAATACTAAATGCTTGTTTGAAGCATAGGTTAGCAAACTCGCTCACGAGTCGACTCAACGCACTCACTCAGACCTAGGTTGAGCAGCGAGTCAAATTCTGAGCGAGTCCGAATGAGTACATCTTTTGGTGAGTTTGAGTCTGTGTGAGTCAAGTTGAAAAAATTTTAGCGAGCCTGAGTCCAAGTGAGTTTCAAGAAACAATATGTATGTTTTGAGTGAGTCTGGAGTGAGGTCCACATTTTTTTTGCAGAGCTATGGTAGCAAGTTGGCGCTGTGTGTGGTTGCGTACTTTTCCTGGTGTCCTCTGCTGCGCTACGACAAAGTTTAAGAAAATCACCCACTACCAACAAGTGCACATATTCAACCTTTTTGACTTCATGAAACAGACACCTTGACAGTGATGCAGTTCCTATCTCTGAAGTACCCTGAAGTACATTTACAAAAAGCTGCTTGAAGGTACTGATAAATTTATGATTGTTATGTGCAAAATAACAGTAGTCAGTCCGCAGTCACAACGCAGCTGACCTACAACGTCCACTTCTTCACTCTCAGTCTGAGGCACCCTCTTTGGGTATGTCCCACTATGCCCTGTTACAGTCAGCCGAAATCACGTAACAATATAATCATCGAAACCGGTGTCAATAGCAGTGGATATGCCAGATGCCTAAGGCAACTTGTGTTAGTAGTATCTCAGATTAGTAAATCATCCTGGCCACGTTACTTGGCTATCAGGATGGAGCATGTGAAAACAGTGGATGTCCTAACGGTGCCGTTTTGAATGAAATTTACTAGAAGTCACACTTTGGCCTAGAATTTTCCCATATACACCAAGGAGGCAGGCAGCTTTGGCATCGTTAGTGATGCCAAAGTGTGTGCACTGTGCATTGAATTCTGTGCCTTCAGAAAATGTTGACACGATGCTTCAAAGGTGTGCAACTCGGAAGACACGAGCTCATAATAATGATATGTGTGGTTTTACGTTCCAAAACAACAACATGATTATGCCTTTGACTTCACTCTCATGGCTACTGAACAAGTTGCTTTGTTGTGTGCATGGTAGATGTATCAAGCAATACTATTAACCTCCATGATACTTTACCTATTCCTTGAGGTCAGGTCGGCATTTCCATGAATCAGAGTTCAAGCACATTTGTGGCTTGCGTTGCACTTTAAAAAGGTGTTGTGTCAACGTTTAACTCACCTGAAGCTGTGCGATGATGGGGATGAGGAATGCAGCAGTTTTTCCTGAACCAGTTGGTGCACAGCAGAGCAGCTCTCTCCGCTGTACAGAAAAAGAATAAAAGATGACTTGCGACACTACAAGGCACTACTATACCACTGTTTATCTAGATAAAATTTGTATATAATAAAATCATGAACTCCAGAAGTTCTCAATGGAAACTGAAGACAAGTGGTCAACATGAGATGAAAAGGGAAATCAGATAACCCTGTTTTGCTGCCCACACTAGGTGACACCGGTGGTGGGGCCCGAGGCTGATGGCTGCCAATGAATGCCCTACTGCAAATTTTGCATTCTGCTATAGTAACTCGATCGTGCTGGAATAAGCAATGCAAGCAAGTCATTCTCATCTCTGGAGCTTGAGAGCACAAAATAAACCTCAATTTACATTCTAAAGTCTGTTTTGGCCATCCAGTTCTAATTAGAACTTAGTCATTACACAGAACCTAATTGTGGCAACTCAAAGGACCTAACATAAATATACCCATATTTGGTATTCAAACACAACAAACCATCCCCCAAAAGTGCTTTGACTTACAGAAAATGTGCAACAGTGGCAATGCCATGATTCCATGTGCTTTTCAAAACCAGTAATATTTACGGAGACAGAAGTGAAGCAAGACAAAGAGCCGGCTGGTGCGCAGATGTGTAGGTCAGCCATTTTGACTCTTTACAATTGTTCAATGTAAATGCATTCTGTACATACACAAACAAAACCGTAGCAATATGACAATGCAATGTGATTAGTGAAGAATACCTCAAGCATGGCAGGAATGGCTTGACGCTGAACAGGTGTCGGTGCTTCATAGCCCAAGTCTTTAACATTGCGAAGCAGTACTCGAGAAATCTTGTAGCGGGTGGCCAGTTCTTCAAAGGTCTCAAGCAACGCTGGGACATCTGTGCCTTTTGCTCGAATGCGTTGCCTCTTGCTGGGCTTGGGCTGCAAAGGTGTTCTATTACACTCACGCCATACCTATTCATCAACAGTGGAAGAAAATGACAGAAATCTTAGCATACCACATGCACCTGCTGCTCAATGGCTTCATCACCTTCGATTTTCCGCTTGGTACCGGCGCTAGCTGAAACATTTAAGAAGCAAAGCACTTTATGAGCATGTAAGGATATACATAAAAAAATACACCTTTTGCAATTTGCATACAGCAGTCCAATGCCATAGCTGGAATGCATTTGACATCATCTGTGATAAGCATAACTGTGTGGCCGCCATTATGCAGGTTTATCTTTTTTTTATTATTATACAATTAACTTCTGGAAAGCATTGACAATAATGTTTTGATAACACCACTGGTGTAGCCGAGATTGTTGGGAAGAGGTTTAGCCCCCGCCTTCTTTGAAAATTTCAAATTTGCATGTGTATATATATATGCATGCACCTGGACAAACACACGTACATAGATACATAAAGCATTGTTACGCCCATTTCCCTTCGAAAAAAAGAAAGAGTCTCGCTACTGTACCGCTACACACGCTTTGCCTTTATGCTGCTATTCGGGACAAACGTTTTTTTACCGTCACGATCGTGGTCAACCACCGTAAGTCTGTTTTCATATCAATTTAAACATCATAATGTACAACGCTGTACGACAAACATACAGGTGATCAGTGCAGATACAAATCAAAGCTGCCGATCATATTAGGGACCGTCATAGCAGCTTAGTAATTACAGTAATAATAGCGAAAAAAACAAACAAAGGAAAACGAGCAAAAATGAAACGTTCTCCAAACACTAAGCTGAAGCTCATCAGCAACTTCCTTTCACATCCACGGACCGAGGTAATCTGCATATCGTAGAAGTGCTGCCGTTTCACGGCGATCTTACTGCACAGAAACCTACACGAGTTGATGAACTTCATACAGCTTTAACACAGCGTTTAACATCCAGTGACAACCTAGTTTTGTCACCATACGAAAACAGTTCTCCGATCTATCGCTGGCGCGTTCCCTGCAGCAAAATCTGAAATGTAGATGAGCTTGCTTACCGCTTTGGTTGTGAGCAGCGTCTTCGAAGTCCGCTCCTGCAGCATTTTCCGGCTGCTTTTTTGCCAGCTGAAGAGAGAGAGAAAACATTTATTAAATTGAGCTTGTGGGTGAAGGTGGGAGGGTCCCTTATTCCAGGAACCCTCTGGCCTGGACAGCCCGCCGGGCTCGAGCGACGAGTTTACGCGGCTCGACCAGGTCCGGTTGAGAAAAAAAAAAAAAAAAAAGAACCACATGTGTTTGCAAGTTTCGGGCACGTTTAGCGTTGAAATCAGGGTACCTTAAAGCGCTCCGCATCAGATCTGAACTTGTTCACATTGAAGTTCACGCCGACGCAAAGTTTCTTGAAAAAATCATTCGTGTTCATGATGACACGCACAAGAAACACGGTCGCCGTCAATCACACATGGCTCAACCCGAAAATACTGCAAATGATGCTGAGGATTGGCTTGGCTTGTCCGTGTATCGATCGAAACGAGTGTTTATCACGATGCGGCTGCACTCGACGGCACGCAAGCTGCAGCTAGGTTTCCTAATGCTACAGCGTTCTAGAACACTGTACTAATGGCCCTGTGGAAACGCAAATTTACTAAGTTGAGACGAGAAACCGAATAGAGCATGATCTAGCGCGCTTATTAACTGAAACGCTGCTACTATAATGCAAACTACAAATTCCGTAGGAACGAGTAGTCTTTCCGCCTTGCGAGCCTCTAGGCCCTCTACAAACTGTGCTGGGCAAAGTGCGCCGGATGGTAAGTTTTGCTTAGATGGTTTAGTGGTAAGTTTAAATTCATGGCATAGCCTACCACGGGGGTCTGACCATGAAACGGGCGGTACCTAATCTTATAATTGAAACTGTTGTACTAGCCGAACACGTTTAGATATGGATATTAAAAAAAAAAAAAGTTGTAATACGTGGATTAGAAACAGAATAAATAAAGAAAAAGAAAACCCAACAAGCTGATAGGGTTAAAAAGAAAGGGAATTTATGCCTAAGTTTAACATCCCGTTCGTTTTGTTTCCCTCGAGAAATCGCTTATGGCCTCGCAAACGTTCACGGAAGAGACCACTGGAAGAGATAATTTGAAAGCCATCCTACGGAGATGTTCTCCTAACAATATTTTCCTTTGATTCGCAAATAAACTTCATGTTAAAATGAAATAATGTAGAGATTCACTCTCGTCGCAGTGGAGGCTTCAGTGTGACTGCACCAAATCAGACCTGCAATTTGTGTATTAAAAATTCAAGGGGGGGGGGGGGGGGGGGACTCGACACTGTTGTCTCGTAATTGATATTCCCGCCCCTCATTTGATTTCCCCTTCGTACATGTGCTCTTAGCTAAACGCTTGAGCCAGTATTCGTGAAACTCGCTAACAGAAAAAAAAAAAACTGGAAACAGGAAATAACCTCTGTGCCGCTGTTTGTTTTCTGCCTCTAGTTTTTTTTTCAATATTAGTGTTTTCGTGTTTCTTTTTTTTTCTAGTGCAACAGTGTACCGGCTCGTTGAAAAGGCAATCATCCTGATGTTTGTGAAATGGTTTCTACGCCAGAATAGTTCATACTAGTGTACTTTCAGAAGAGAGAGAGAGAGAGAGAGAGAGAGAGAGAGAGAGAGTGGGCGTCTTCCCACGTGTATGACTCTCTTTAAAGAGTTCATGTTAACTCTCTTTTGGGTACCACGCCTCTCTGACGAAAGCGTAATGGTCTCCAAAGAGAGTTCACTCTTGGTACTGGCAAAAAAGAAAAGGTGAAATCACTTATTTCTTCTTTATTTTGTTTTTGTTATAGTGATAGAGTGTTAAGAGTGCGGGTCGATATATATAGCGAAGGCGCGCCCGGCCTATGGAAAAGCGCACTACTGAAGGAAAACCATTGTTTCAACAGCCTCTGATACGGGACACAGGGAAAGGTTTATGCGACCTTGGAACTCATGGACGACGTATCGCTTCCATCCAACATATGGCACAGTGCGATATAGGAAGTACGTTGCTAAAGCTACGGGGACGCATACGTTCGTCAAAGTTAGTTTCGTGCTCTCCAGCGGCCTTGCGCTGTTGTGATGATGTTTATTCCCACGTGGACTCGAAAGAGAGCTCTGTGCCGGCAATCTCATTTGGCCGGACCGGTTGGTATAGAGACCCAGTGAATCTGTCATTAGCAACCCCGCCGGCGGCTCGTTAAGCTTAATAAAGGTGGTTGGCTTGCCTCTCTTGCATTTCGAATGTCCCGAATGTGACCCGCCGGCATGCAGGCTGTGCGGACACGTTTTTGTGGGACGACACGCGGATGCATATGTGGGTGTCCGTTTATGCCGCATACGGCAAGGCCAAGCAAACTTGCTGCTAGCTGTATCAGAAAACTTTCGCCGCTCTCGTAGAAACTGTAGCAGGTTGATTTGAGCTGCAGGCTTAATACGCCTGTCGCCAAAGAGTGTATACACAACCGCAAACGTACGCTTTTGATTGTGTCGATTGATGATTGATATGCGGGGTTTATCGTCCCAAAACCCCTGTATGATTACGAGAGACGCCGTAGTGGAGGGCTCCGGGAATTTCCACCACCTGGGGTCCTTTGACGTGCACCCAAATCTGAGCACACGGGCCTACAGCGTTTCAGCCTCCATCGGAAATGCAGCCGCCGCAGCCGGGATTCGATCCTGCGACCGGCCGGTCAGCAGCCGAGTACCTTAGCCACTAGACCACCAAGGCGGGTCACTCTAAAGCAGTAAACACTCAGAAAGGTCACGTGGCTTGTAGTGCGACACTTGAAATTTACCAGAACGTTCAAAAATGGGTCTCAAGTTGAATACAGGGTGTCCCACATAACTCAAGCCAAGAATTTGAAAATGAAAGACACTTGAGTGGCGAATTGAACCAAACTCATACTACTCGCACTACCCTGTAGGTACTCAGGCAATTTCTTTTATTTCTCCCCTTACTAAATAACTAATAATTCTTAATTACCTATTTTTTTAAATTATAGACTGAAAACCCAAAATATGAACATTGGATGTTCATAATTTGTTGGATGTTCACACTTTCAGAAACCACCGAATAAGTTGTTTCTTGTACGATACGTCTAGCGCTGTTACTTTTTCCGCAGTGCAAAGAAAATATATAGCATGCAGCACTATAGCAGTGCGCTCGCGGTCTGTCACACGGCTTCTTTTCACGTTTCGCGGGCTTTCTTTACAACGTGGAAAAAATAACACCGCGAGACGTATCGTAAAGGAAACAATTTAGTCGGCGGTTTCTGAAAGTGCTCTACATCTCAGTGTTCATATTTTGAGTTTCCAGCCCATAATTAAACAATAAGTAACTAGGAACTATTAATTAATTAATTAGTATGCGTATAAATAAAGATAGCCTGAGTACCTACAGGCTAGTGCGAGTAGTACGCGTTTGGTTCGATTCGCCTCCCAAGTTCCTTTCACTTTCAAATTCTTGGCTCAAGTTATGTGGGACACCCTGTATAGCACCGGGAGTATAGAACTCTATAGATCCACGCATAACATGACCAGTGCGACGGGTCAAACTAAGAACTAGTCCAACGAGTGGGACCAAGAACTTTTTGAAGGCCTTACTTTCGTGGGCGCTAAGAACAAGATAAAACCAATTTGCGTCGTAGACGTCATGTTTGCAATGCAAATTTTGAAGTATATGCTTTTGTTCGCGGCAACCCAGAGTACATTTTGTCTGCGCCACTCATGCGGTTAATCTTTAGGCTGCTTCAAGTGCCGCGATTGCAACAACAACAACAAAAAAGTAGTTTCATTCGCGTTATTCTTTCTGTTCACCAGCGGCGCTCATGGTGGTTTCGTTTCGCTTCGAATGGTTTGCGATCTTCACTCTGCTACTGGCATGGCGAGCAACACTTGCTGCCGTCCTTTATGGCAGAGAGAGAGGTTAGCTTTATTAATTTCCGGCAGATTGCCATGAGCTACAGGCTCCCATCTAGGAGATAAAGGAGAGACTGTGTCTTCCGGCAGCTTCGTTGGCCTGCTGGATCACTCAACCCAGAGTTGCAGATTAACGCTGGACATGCCCGTAAGATATGGCGAAGAGTGGCTCTGGGGGTACGGTACTGGCACAGATTAGTGCTATAGACTTCGAGATATATGTGGTGCATGATGACATGGGTTCGTGTATGTGCGTGTTTGTAGCTGCCGCCATTGAACGGACTGGACCCGGTTTAGATTGCGTGAGGCAGAGGGTACTCCCGCCTTTGCAATCGATAGTGTTGAGTTATTTGAGAATATAGTGGGCCGATCGTCCGATTCCCCTAGCGGCGCAGAAAAGTCCGTTTGAGTGCCTGTTGCTTAAGCGTATCGGAACATAAGACCTCGAGCCACGTTTTGTGCTACTTCATTTGGACTGACCTCCGGGTGACCTATATAGAGGCGTGTGAGGCAGGGAACCAAAGAATGTGCAGGCATTTGTCCACTTCGTGAATCTTGCCTGTATTAAGCATCCGCAATGCTTCGGGGGAGATTGATGCCACTGGCGTAGTCTTGAACGGCCGTTTGCGACTAGCTGACACTCAGGAGAAAAAAAAAAAAACTTTGTTTTGAGAATCTGGTGGCCTCGGTGTTGCGAATTCCACGCCTAGGTGTCAGCAAGGAGCCCTTAGGTCCTGGCGGCGTCCTCGGCTCGTCGAATAGCCCAGAGCTGTTCCTCTGGGTCTGGGCTGAGAAGCCAGGTCTCCTGCTGCTCTGAAAAAAAAAAAAATCAAATGTAAGGTAACAATCTGTGCGTTATGACATTAAGTTTTCGTGAATGGCAACTATAGAATAGACGGATGTAAACCATTATCATATCTATTGACCAATGGTCGGAGTTCCTATAGTCCGGCCGGGACCCCAATGGCTTGGCACCCGCGGCAACGAAGAGCGCGCGAGTATGGCCATTTTAAGAACAATTTCCAATATACACCTATTTTAAAGTGCGCAACATCGGCCATTACCTAAAGAAACACATATAGGCAAGTTTATTTATTTATTTATTTATTTATTTATTTATTTATTTATTTATTTATTTATTCAGAAATACCCTGCTTTGCCCAAAGGCGTGTAAGCGGGGGGGGGGGGGTTACAGCTTTGAAAAAAAAAAAACAAGTCTTCGTTATGACAGCACACTTGGTCACAAGACAATTGATTCCACTCTTGTACAGTATGAACAAAAAAAATTAGCATAAAGGTTCGTTCCAGTCCGGTATTCTTGAATCTTAAGGTCATGATCAGACCTTCTAGACAGATAATGCGGTGGTTTAAGGTAAGTGTCTTTATTGATGCCAGTCTTCTTATGGTATATCTGAAATAACAATTTCAAACGCAATTTTCTTCTGCGAGAGGAGAGCGCTTCCCATCCCAGCTCGTTTTTCATTTCAGTACAGCTGTCACCTCGCTTATACCGACTGAGAA